AATTAGAAAAACGCCCGTGTTACGTTCTAGATAATTTTGTTGCTCATCGAATGGTATATGTCTCATTGTTGTAGCTTAAAAACTCTAGGAGGAGATAGGTTTGCAGTGACAATAAGTTAACTTTTCAGTAGAGCCCGTCAAAGTCCCGCGCGCATCGGAATAGGCACTCAATGTAGCAAGGATACAAAACTAAACGTTACTGCAGCTTGATTCCAGTCAAGGATGGTGGGAGCGACGACACGCAACCCCTCCCGTACAACTGCAGGCGGGTTACTGAAGCACATCGTATGTGGACTAGCTATTTATGCATGCTACCGGGAATTATCGCCCACCTAAAATGTGAAAGAACTCCCCCGACCCCCCCCCCTTTTGCAAGCTGTCGTGAACGCATAAATCAACGTACAGAGATGATTTTGGTACCGTTGGATAGAGCAAAATGTCAGCTTTAAGATGAGACTAAAAACCGGAAAAGCCAAAATTCAAAATTTTACCCCAGACGCTCCCCTTAAGTATTGAAGGAATTATGAGCGGCCCAGTTGCGCGAGTCCGCAGGCGGGTCCGTAAAATTGTCGATTGAGTGGAATAATCGGTACATAAAAGGTTGAAATGATAACGAGTCACGATTTTTATTACCTTTTTTTTATTCTTCGTTGTATGACCTCTGTAGTGCCCACAAAAAATGCGACAAATTACATTTAAACTTCATTGAACAAACTCAGAGTACTAGGAGTAGGATATGTTAAAATTAATATCAATGGCAACAAATAGCAGACACGTGAGAAAGTGGATACAAAATAGGTTGTTCCATTCTCGTCTCTTTTCTCAAAATAAAGTAAACCAAAGTATTGAATATACAGGCCTCCTTCACCAACTGTAAAAAAAAACTTTGACCTGCATCACTAGTTGCTACGACCATTTCTCCACTGCACTGCTTCTCAATATTGGTTGCTACCGTTAAACTGCAGCTTCTAAAGCACGCTCCGCATTGAGCTGCAACCTGCATTTTCTAGAGATGCCACAACTGAGGAGCCTATCTTGCACCAATACGATGTGACAAAGAGGAGAATGAAGGATGCTGTGTAGGTGTCCAGTGCGAGAATATTTCTTCTCAAGTCCGATACAGAATTCACTCAATGCGTGAACAGAAAGTCACAGCATCAGAGTGAAGTCAGAGATCATCTTTCTAAATTGATCTTCTTTCAATGGATACAATCGACTGGACTCCATGCTCGAACGACTCCAAGTATGCGCATGGCCCGTTACACGCAGTTATTTGTTAACATAACATAGTGATGTCGACGCTAAAGAGTAGGCCTGATGTATTTGTACTCTTTAGATTCGCATCAGTGACCGTAATCACAGTACACAACGCAATTCTTCAAAACGTATGAACACATCATGATCAAAATGAGTACAGTGTTTCACTGGACACTTCATTGAAAGCCGGCATTGTGGGGCACTAGGTCCTACACTTTCGACCAGCAGTGTGAAGCCGCATGACTTTCTTAAAGTTGACAATCTGTTCAAACTTAGCATAGATTATTAACATTCATTTATTTTCCGCAGATAAGCACGGAAGCAATTCAGGGTGAGTTTGGCAGGAATTTTATAAGGAAACGAAATTTAAATTAGAATTTCTAAAGGGTTTTCATGAGGGTCTGCGAATCGTATGACTTTCAGCTCAAAGATACTTTATCCATTTGAAGTAACTCCATTTAAACCTTGATAACTGCTTTTCCAGAGTTATCGCCGTGAAATAGTCCAATAAAAGCCTGCGGAGTATTTTCGAAACCTTCTGTGATCGTCTCCGAGTACTTCATTTTACCCTGCAAGGTAAAAACATTATAACTACATGATGGTTATTAGGTATATTTGAATCACAACAATAAATATTCGATGCATTGCATAATAAATCCAAATGCAGAGCAGTTGAGTGATAATTACCTGATCAATCCACTCCCTCATTTGTTGCACTCCTTCTCTCCAGCGGGCGCTCCAGCGGGTCACCATGAAGCCTTCGATGCGCACCTGCTTCCAGTTGATCAAACTCTCTGCATACGGACCTGTAGCACGCAACGTGAATATCGCTTTAAAACATAAATGACATTAGATCAAATTACTCTGCTATAATACCATCAAATCACTGAATAAGGACTTTAATAGGAGATTTCGATTATTTAATTCATTTAGTTAATTTATAGGGAGGTTTTAGTACATTGTTTCTGTTTTCTTTTAGGATGTTGACGTGTATAACTGAATGTTTTAGTCTTTTAGGGCTGTTGTGAATTCCCTTTGAATTTTATGTTAACTGCCGAGTGTGGCAATCTAGACAATGCTTCAGAGGTAAAATTAGGTAAGATTAAGTATTAAGTATTCGAGATTGATGACTGCAAAAAATGAAATGTAATACACATACTTTGTAATCATTTTTTCTCAATATTAAACTATATTCTAAATCTAAAGCATTTATCGTATCTTGTGACCAGCTTTTTATGCCATAGATAAAGAAGCTTGACGCCTTACTAGACTATTTTATACAGAACACTTCTTGAGACAGCAGGAAACTTTTAATCCAATGATGAAATCGTAAATAGTCTCTTCTCTTTCATTTCATAGTCCACTTTTTGAATCAGATCATGCGTAATGAGTGAAGGTCTCTCGCTTCGTGCCTCATCGTGAAAGTTTGTGCGGCCATCTTTAAAGGCCCTAACCTATTTCTGTGGCATCGCAACACTCGTAATGCTTTCTTTAAACACTTCAGTGATTTGGCGGTGGATGTCAGCTGATCTGAAGCCTTGAGCACAGAGAAACGCACGCACTTCTCAGTGGGCTGGACTCTCGTTAGGACTCAAAAATCACGCAAACAAAGTCAAATTGTGACTGGGTCGGATGGTTCCTTAATGGCGTCTGTGACTTCTTGAGAGATGTAGGTAGCTGCACATATTACGCAAAACGGCGGCGGCAGCGCTGCGGCGCGGTGGCGTTATTAAAAACGGTACTTACTTTAAAAACACGCTTCGTATCTCTTGTTTCATATTTATTTTCAAAATGCTGATACAATACTTACTGCACAGGTAATCGTGATCCAGGCTTTTGCTGCGGTCGTTGTAGTTGGCAATAGCACCACAGACCGACACCCGAGCAAACTCAGCCAATAATGGGAAAGCTTTAGCTGAAAATCGCCCTCCAACCTGAAAAAGTGAAATAAAGTTCAGTAGTTGAAGCAAATGCCAAAAGCAAGAATTTAAAAATCAACAGATTTCGCAAATGTCGCATTCAACGCGAGTGATTATATACTGCGTGATTCACGAAAACTTCCCGATTTGAAAGCTCAATAAAAATAAAAGAACATGTAAGATATCATTACAATGTAACTTATTGAAAAAAGACATTGCCTAAATTTTTGTATTAGTAAGTTTTAAAGATGACATCGGACAAATGTCATCCCCATTGTCAATGCATTCAGGTAGTCGATATTTGAAGTTCCGTTCAACTTGCTTAAGCATATCGATGGGATATTGGCGATAGCTCGGCGTATGTTGATCTTCAGATGATGCAGGGTTCCTGGACGGCCATTGTAAACAATTAACTCTTGCATTCACATTTCCATATGTCCTAAATGTGGTCACCCACGTAACAATCTATTTCTAAACATGAACCCGACCTGAAAGACGAATACGAAACCAGGTACGGAAGGTTTGTTGAATAGCGATAATGGACCGGCCATTCGAAAAGTACACCTCGACAGCAAATGCACACCGCTCACTTGTTCAATGCATAGTGGCATTTGACTGGGCAGGACACAAAACTTTATGACCTTTCCTTTAATATAAAGTACTTTTGCTCTTTTCTTTCAACATCTGGCTGCTTGACGCGATATACAAAACAGGAAGTTTCCGTGAATTACCCTATCGACAGTCACAATTACCCTATCGACAGTCACTTATTATGTTAATAATATTGAATCATGAATATAGCGCATTATTAGGGGTGCTACAAATCTTACTAAGCCAAGGATTTGTGTGTCCACTTAGGCCGTCAAACATTCAATCAATACATGAAAACTCAAGGACAACTGACGTTATCGAAGTAGCAGTTGACGCCCGGAACAATCAACAAATTAATCAGGATCCAGTAAACTGTAACTGACGTTACGTTACGTTAAATTTAACGGCATTAAAAATTTTATACTTATCCCTCATTAACGCTATCATACCCAACTTAATAGAGCACAACAAATGAATCAGGATCCAGTTAACTGCAACTGACGTTATCGAAGTAGCAGTTGACGCCCAAAAATCAACAAATTAATCAGGATCCAGTAAACTGTAACTGACGTTATCTTTACCTTGCAGCCTGAAAACAGTGGTAACTATAAGCAAGCGAGCGCGATTACCTTGCAGCCTGGGAACCATGTTAAATATTAAATATTAGGCTGCGAACGCGATTACCTCGCAGCCTGGAAACCATGTTAACTATAAGCAAGCAAACGCGATTACCTTGCAGGCTGGAAACCAAGGTAAAGATTAGGCCGCGAACGCGTTTACTTATTGCAGCCATGGGAACTGAGGACATTACTAGCCCGCGAACGCGACCATCTCGCAGCTCTTAACTATTTGTATTCTGACGTGACTTTTCGGTCCTGGGTTTTTGTATACGAATAGATATATCCGTAGGCAAAGAGTTAACGCAAATTATTGATTATATTTAAAAAAGGAAATATACGTTTTTATACCCAATAATGAGACCTCAATTAATACGTGACATTATTTAGGTAAATACGGTATGAACGGAATGAACCCCTGCGATAACCACTCAGCTTGCCTATAAAGTGTAGCCTGTCTATATATGTGCTGTTTCGCATAAGTGATTAAAGACAGTTTAACAGTAATGAAAAAATTTAGAGACAATTTTTATGGAATATCTGGGAATTTGAGATAAGTCAAAACTCAGATGGCTGTAGTTTTATAGCCTAACTTCGCACGCATAATGAGGCCTACCTTTAATCTTGGCTATCTGGACGACCGCGCTGCCGACGGCTCCAGCAGCGGCGTTGACGAGCACTACTTCTCCCGGCTTCGGGTCGCATATTTCCAGGAAGCCATAATACGCAGTAATTCTGAAATTCATGAAACTCAGTTTACGTGTGATATGACGTAATGTGTAGCTACAATCTTCGCTTATCCTTGAAATTACGTGAAACTCAGTTTACGCGTGTTGTGAAGTCATATGTAACTATATAAGATATTTGCTCAACCTATAAATTCACAAAACTCAGTCGACGCATGTTGTGACGTCACACATTACATCTATATTCGTTCATCCTTGCAACTCGTGTAACTTTGATCATGCGTGTTTGGAAAATTATACGTTACTGAGATATTCGCTTTATACCTGAAATTTACGTTCGATCGAGTGACATTGTACGTAAGTAAGATATTCCAATTCATTAAATTCGACGAAATTCAGCAATAAATCTTTAAATCGTCACCTGTTCGTAATGATCATTCATACCGGTCAGCTGCTAACATCCGTACTTGGATTTCAGACAATGTACATCAAAATTGTTGCCTCAATAATAGAGCAAACCGGACCACTAACGGGCGAGTCGGTCAGGTGCCCATGTACTCATGGCAGCTGATTTTCTGCTTTGCACTTCACCAACAGCATGCATGACGTCCTAGATTTTTGGCAGGTAATAACCCGAGTTCGGGTGCCGTGCTATCAAAAATAGTTACGAGTTCGTAACTCCGTCAGCCAATCACTGTCGGCTTTTCAAGCTAAATCACCAATAATAGGCGAGAAATCGGCCGTTAAGTGCATTTAAGCAAGATTTGAGAGTCCATCCATCCCCTCCAAAAAATACTCACCCAGGCATTCCCAAGATTCCCAAGGCGGTAGAGTGAGAAAGACCCTCAACTTCTGGGAAAAGCTTGTAGTTTTCTAAGTTACCGAAGCTTTTTCTTGCCATGATTTCATCAGAGAGAAGCGTATGAGTCCTCCATCCGAAGTATCCAACAACGCGACTACCCACTGGATATGCGAGATTCTTGCTCTCAATCACTCTGTGGTATAGGAATGGCCGCGACGAGCATAAATGTTTACAGTTTCTTAAGTGAAGATCATTAAAGCTACAATCACCAATGAACTGAAGAAAAACATGGAGTCAAATTGATTAACATACTAATAATGGTTAGGCGAACTCAAGGTATCATTTGAAATTTCATGTCGTAAAAAAATTATTCATTATGGCTATGAAACCGACTGTATTAGTGCAGCTCATGGAAGTGTCCCAACTGAAATTTACACCGCATGATAATGGATTCAGGGGAACAAACATACAACAGCAAGGGAAATATGAACTTTACAAGTTACTAAATTATATAATTATCATTATGGATGTACTATGTTCTTATAGCGCACGTTTAAATATTTACCTATCTGTGGACTGTGAAGGGATCTTCCGGAAATTTCATATTTCTCACCTTAAAATTTATGCATTGATGCAGCGACTTTTGCTTAGAAAATCAAGCTTCACTATGAAAAATGTAACCAGGTGATAAACAAAAAATGTCAAATATCTTTATTTAGCACAATTTTTTTAAATGATAAGCGTCATATAATTTGATAAAATTGTTATACGCTACTGAGATCTTCGCTTAAACCTTACATTCACGTGTGAGCGAGTAACATTGTACCTATAAGTAAGATATTCCAATTCATCAAATTCCCCGCAATTCAATAACAAATTTTTAAATCGCCACCTTTTCGTTATAAACCTTTATACCTGTCAGCTGCTAACATCAGTACTTGGATCTCAGACAATGCACATAAAAAATATTGCATCACATTTTTTTAAATGATAAGCGTCTTAGTGTGATGAAATTATTTGACAACATTAGTATTTTGCCTGTCCACCAGTAACTTCCGTATATCTCATTACCTGTCCGCCCTTTACATTCGCACCTGGCCACCTGTCCGCCCTTAAAATTCGTACCTGGCCACATGTCCGCCCTTAAAATTCGAACATGGCCACTTGTCTGCCCTTATAATTCATACCTGGCCACCTGTCCGCCCTTATAATTCATACCTGGCCACCTGTCCGCCCTTATAATTCATACCTGGCCACCTGTCCGCCGGTGATCACGCTGCCCAGCTGCTGGTCAGTAAGCGCGATGCGGATGTACGGGTCCACGGAGATCCATTCCGCCTCCACGATGAACTCTGGTATAAAATGTGGATGAATTATAAGTGACAACCGGTAGGTGGTTTCGTACGAGAAGCCGCTATAACTGAATAAGACTTGTCAGGGGTCTTACTATCTACAAGAATTGCAAGTTCGTTACTTAACCCACCAATCACTGACGGCTATCGGCTATTAAGCTGAATCCAGCAATCACAGACAGGAAATCGGCCGCTAGTGTACTTTAAGCGAGTTTAAAATTTGATTCACGGCCCATGTCGCGGAATGTTGACAATCACTGCGTTAATCTCTTAATAATTTCTATTTAACAGCGGGTCTCTTATTTCGTTTTTGTAGCGTTGCAATTCAGTTTTATCAAAAGTAGTGAGGTGACATAGATAATATAATGCTAACTTTTCATGTTTAATGATCTCTAAGAAAAAAAAGTAATAACAATTGCCTAAAACTCTCCGAACGTCCTAAGAATGTGCGATAAATTGATTGCATAATATGATGGGTACTTGTAACAGAATGAACAGTTTTTTTCGTATCTGAAATTTATGAACATTCTAGAAAATCTCGTAATTGCTAGGAAATATTGGCGGAATAGAGTGTGCTGGTAATTTAAGGCCTTAATAAAGGTATAATTTTGTAATGGTTTGATCAAAATTGATGTAGCAAGTATATCATGCTATTCAAGTATTCATGTATCTGTATGTGACTATCTAGAATGTGCATAGGTACACATCAGACTCACCATTGTCACTGCATGCTGGTAAAGTTTCGGTAATGAGCTTGAAATCATCAGCCTTTGGTAAATCAGGATGCTTCTTGTTCAGAATCCAGCACTTCGATGTCACCATTTTAACTGAAAATTTTCTCGATGCAGACAATAAAATCTTTTAGAAAAAAAACAGACTATAGTTTAAAAAGTGATGACAATAAAAACAATCTTATGAATAATGACTACCAAATGATCGCACTTGTACCTCAGCTGGCACTCTGTATACTGCCGATGAGCGCAGCAAGTTAGGCCAGACCGACTAGACAACTTCAAACCGCTCGGCCACTGCCAGACGCACGTCATTGTAGGAAGAAGCGATATTCTGCCTGGCGCCGAACTCTATTTTCAATGCAAATGCCGTTTAGCATTTTCCACATAAAGCATTTCCCTTCTATTCGCTGAACCCAGACACGTTGAATAGGCTTTAATCATTTGCACCATCGTTTTGAATATTTATTACCCACATTTATGTTTATTTTCGCTGGCACGACCTGTTTCGTACGTGTTTTCTTGTGTAATCTCGTTCAGAATCAAACGCTGCGTGTCAACATCGCCGAAGCAAGTAAAAAATTGAATATTTTTCAAGAATTTTCCTTTGAACACCACGAATGGCCATCTCGATGTCCTCACGGAGTTCTAGTTTCATGTCTAGGATCTTATGTTAGTTGTAGAGCGCTTGACTGTAACTGTAGGATGACTGTGCGGAGTTATGATACATTTTTGGATCAGGTTCTTGCAGCGCACAAATCAAAATTATACAGCCTTCTAGGGCGCATACTTCACCAAACAAGACGCGCCCTTCTAGGGCGCGTCTTCACTCCCACAACTAAAACATTCACAAGTACTTTTAATATTGACGTGTTCAACCACCCATCTATCAATATGCGGGCTAGAACAAGCTTCAAATTTGATAACACATCAAAAAAGTAATGCATCATAATTCTGAGCGAGTCTCCAGTAGTCAGGGCTCATAATTTCCGCTAATAATTATGGCAAGCAGGGATATGAAAATTAACCTTTAAGCTTGTATATTATTTCAATTTGTCACTCGTGTCGTTGCGTGCGTATTAATTTGCTGTATGAAAGCGTTTTCCACTACATTTAAGTTCTGGAAAAGGTAAATGTTACATATCTGGGATAGTAACTTGTCTTCTATTTCTCTGCTCACTGTACATGTGAGCAAAGATAGCGATTTGGATTGGAAATTAACTACTAAGAAAGTGGTGAAAAAAATATTCGCTTCTATTAGAATTTAATTTATATGTGCAAATTTTTTCAGCCGTCGTTCGTACGCGCCATCTTACTTGTCAGTGGTCTAATGAGTGTATAAACGCTGGTACAGTTGACGGTATATATGTTTAACAAGGAAATGAAGAGAAGTAAACAAAATTGCTATTATTTAAAAAAAAACTGAGCTGAAAGTTATATTATTTCCACTCATATCAGTAGTATACCTCAACTACTACTACTACTCAAGTAGGATACCTCAGTACTCATATCAGTAGTATACCTCAATCGCATGTGCGCCAATTTAAGTATTAAGTAGAGGAGCACAATATCTTCATTGAAAACATTTTGTTGACATTCCATCATCGATTCAAAAAATTATATAGAATACAATTACAAACAACATTAAATTTAATTATAGAATTAAAATTTAAAAAAAAGATATAAAAACCTAAGTAACGAGGAAACGACAACGGAATTTGAAAATCCAACGATTTACAATTTCATGAGGAAAAGAACTGGCCGCGTAGGTTTCCGTTAAAAATGTGTAATTCCGAAATCATTAAATGAAACCAACAGAGGTGAAACCGAGTTGGGGCATTTTACTGAAGGTAGGTAATTTGTGTAAGAAGAAAGGTTTTTCTATAGGAATACTATGTGCATGTGTCAGATATTTGCTTACCACTACGTTCCACTATGAACATTGTCTGCGCTAATTAATTCATGAACTAATTTTATATCAGGGGACGTTAAAAAATCTAGTATCCAAGGTGAAGCTGACACGAAAAAGGTTGAGGACTATGTCTAGACAAACTATTTATCTTCTAGAGATATCTCCGTGCATTATCTTCTCGAGATATCGCTCAAGTGTGCTTTCGAGTTTGGTATGATAACAATTAAGATAGGGCGAGGAAGGTATCAGAGAGTTTCAATTCAATGCAATATGTGTTTAGCACACTTTTGGTTTCGGTAAATCAAATGCACATGTCGTCTTTGCTTCTTTAGCTCTTTTAACCTCATTAAATAAGTCTCACTTATTTCTTTGTTTCTTGTGATTGACTGCTCTAAATTGTCTTCATAATAAGGTCACCTTAACCTTTTGTATTTTTCATTCGCAGTTTATCAGAAGACTCGATAAGTCCATCATCTCAAGGTCAGTTGACTGAAAAGTTGGCGCAGTCGAATAGTCCGCACATTTCCCTGTCACGATGACATGCACATTTATCTGAGTGTCATCCTTAGGGAACTAACGGTACTCAGTCTCACTCACAGATACGGAGATGTTTTTGGCATTATTATGTTATTGGAGCTTATAAAGCACATTATAAAGCGTTGATCCTCGATCAATCCTCATCAGGCGGGCAATCAAACATGGAAACTAAATTGACACTTAAACGGCCCAACGTCATGTTGTTTGTGCGTGAGGCGTCATGTACGCTTCCGAACGCCGGGTACTTCTGGGGCCTTCCAATCTTTTCTTTTAACAACACACAATGCCAAATTTGACCACAGTAGTAATCCTCCATTTGATCACAGTAGTACCGCCTCCATGACGATATCACACAAAACTAAGCTAAATATACAGATATCTCTACGTACACCGAGTGGACACTTTAAAAATTGCAACCTCTTCGTTCCGCCTTAGCCCTTTAGCGACCAGCTATACCTTGCGAGTACAAAATAGTATACATTGCATCCATACCACATTGCTGAAAGTTATTCATTGAAAAAACCTTACAGGTGACGAAAAATAAAATCTTTCCAATCATTTTGATGTAGGCATATATTTCAGTAATTACATTCGATAACAAAATTCGTCACAAAGAATCCTGAATTCGCTGCGACATAAACATCATCGTCATTATATGTTATTGTTCTTCGATTGTAATACCGCTAATGTCGCCTGTGAAGCTTTTTAGCTTATATGGGCATTCACATAGAAGCATTTTGTATTTTTTTCTCCAAATTTTTGCTATTTTCTTGTTATGAATTTTTTTTGTACGCTCCTGCGTGAATAAAGAATAAAATGTAAGGGGAAAGGGGACGGCACCTGCTTGGGAGTTGTATTAAATGCTTCAAAGAACTGCACGTAAGCATCGAAATTTTCGTAGAAAATTGCAAGATAGCTCCTGAACTTGTTTCCCGGTATTATATTTCCTATATATCGTTCAGTATGAGGATATCGTATGCCAAATACCCTATTTTTGAGGAGGGGCTCAAATGCTTTCTACCATTAAGATGTAGAGTATAGACAATTTGTCAATATTTTCTAGGAACATGTGGGAGTGCACGCCAAGCATTTAGCCTGCACGCACTTAGAAGTAATTAAAGGCACAGTTTAGCCTGGCTACGTCGCTGTGCAGACGGAATGACGTGTTGACGTGCTACGTGTGCGGCTAGAATACCTATCACATAAACAGTATAGGCTTCAACGCTTGTATGGTCGGTTTTGGTCTCTCAGTCTGGCGCTAGGTAGCGAGTAGAGTGGCAGTGCGCGGCACGGTAAGCGTCGTGATTAATCAAGATTTTGATTTCTTTTCGTTGACGCAGACAAACTCAATTCGAGTTGTAGAATAATTGCAAATGAATACTGTGGAAATTCGAACCTCATCCGGCGGAGGGGAAACTAAACAAAATTTTACGTTTTTTTGCTATAAATGAAATTAACGATGATAGTAAGCATCTAATTATAATTTTGTGTCTGAGTATGGCGAGGTCCGGGACCCGAGTTGTTCCATCATCTCTCGAGTTGTAGTTCGCTCCTTGTTATCATCGACGTATCCTTGTCATCGTATCGACGTAGACTGCCTTTTTTCTGATATTGTCTTAGGATGAAAATTTAATTAATAATGATTTAATGGATCAGAAGGGCGGTATTGCGCATTGTTAGCATTCGCTGCAAGATGCCACAGGTTACTGAGATACGCCCAGTGGTTACGATTTTTTTTTTTTTTGTGATCGAACTTCACTTGAGCGATCCTGTACAGTCACCGCATTTCACCGGGTACCATTGTGCAATATTATGTTGGAGCAATATAATACAAATAATTTCACAATGTACCATTGTAAAATATAATTGCACAATGGTACCATTGTGCAATATGAAGAATATGGAATATTTTTTGCATTATATCAAACATAATAATCTAGAAATTAGAGTATTAAGTAGGTGTACTGTAGGTACGGATTTAACTGCGGTGTGTGACACCAGTAGTAAATCGTTGCATGCTTACCTTGAATTATGAATAAAACATTTTAGTGCAAAAGAAAGCGGTAACTAGAAATCGCTAATGACCGCAGAATGTTCACTTTATACCCCCTGTCAGGTCCCCGCGTGTCAGCAGGGTAACGCTTCCCACAGTTTGGGACCACTGATCTGGCCCAATAATAATTTTATTTTTGTGACTCTTACATAAGCACATATATTTGTCCTCGCTGGTGCCTCTATGTATAAGTGAACTCTAATATTAACTTTGAAGGAAGAAGAAACATGTCCACTGCAGCCAGCCTCGTGCAGTGTAAGGCAGACCTCTCCCCAACATGTCCACTGCAGCCAGCCTCGTGCAGTGTAAGGCAGACCTCTCCCCAACATGTCCACTGCAGCCAGCCTCGTGCAGTGTAAGGCAGACTTCTCCCCAACATGTCCACTGCAGCCAGCCTCGTGCAGTGTACGGCAGACCGCTCCCCAACATGTCCACTGCAGCATGAGTCTTGTACCGAGTCATATGTCGTACATAAGGACAATTATTACTGAAACCGGCTGACCGTTTTTACTGCATTGCTCCATTTGAAGAAAACTAGATCTAATCTAACAGAAATTAGACCGTATAGTTCGTGTTCATGCATCTCTGTGGTTAGGAAAACTGCAACAAATTCAAATTTTGCAGAGAATATTTTGAAGATGATCTCCACAAAGTCATTGATGCAAATGTTCAGAATAAATAGAAAAACTTAGTTATGTTTTTCTCCGCTATTATTTAAGAGTTAATATCAAAGAAAAATATGTATCATGATGTCATCGTGAAGCATTAAGCGTTGCTCGTGAGACTTGATTTAGGGCACTGAAGGGGTTTCTCGAGATTGACTGTCACGTCTCTTAATGGGTCACCATGCCAATAGGTTTCTTTTAAACGGTCAAGCGTTTCCGGAGTCGTCGATCACCATCCGGTCAGTTGGTAGCGGGCAAACCTCATGCGTGATTGACATGGCCTCGACCTTATTGTATGTAAACTCTCACTCATGTCTCCATATCCTCTGAAGTAATGATGGAATTTGTCAGTGGTTCTCACCGCGTATTAGAAATCACTATCTATAGGACATTTCAATCTTTTTTGAATATTCATTACTGGTTAACGTATCATTGCCAGATTTCATTATTGGAATAATAACTGGACTTGCACGCTTAAATTTTGATGACTGAGCCGTCCATGTTGTTCAAATCGTATGTTATCAAGATGCAATTCTACTTCAAGGCGCATTACATAACACATCACACCACTCGTCTACGACACAAAATAGTCATAGACAATAAAGCCAACCTCATCACTTCATCTATTAGTAATCGAATCTGTTAGGCATGTATCCCTAAAGATCTAAATTGTTCTCATCATTTGATTCGCAGCTAATTCAGCACAATGTAACATCCTTATGATTCATCTGTTTCTTTCAAGGGTAATTTTAAAGATACAATCAAAGTGAATGAGTTTTTTTCGTAGTTACTTTAAAAATACATTCAAAGTTTTTCCAGTTTTCTGTTCATAAGCAACTTTAAAGAATAAAATCAAAGATGGTGCAGGCGAAGGTGTGGCGCATCAAGACCGTGAGTCAGGGAGTGCCAAAGGAGAGCGACTTCGAGTGCATTACTGAGACTGTGCCACCGTGTCAGGACGGCGGTGAGTCGTAATTATAGTATAAAATTAATTACAAACGAGAATTTGACTTATGCACGGATACGAACTATACCATTAAATGAATTGACTTGTGTTTATATCAAAACAGCGAGAGATTATGCATCAAATACCATCAAGAATAGAATCTCATAATGAAAGCAAGTGAATATTCAACTTGCGAATCAGTAACACATCCTTGCCATTGAATTAAGCTGCACCTGAAAAAAATGACGACTGGATGAATATTCGTTTCCATTGAAAATAGTAAATCATTAAACAGTGACTTGCGATATTTATTACATTAGAATTTATGAACAACTTGATAAATTCTTAAGTTAGGGAGTGACGTATGATTTCGTCCTTCATGGCATATGAGGACTTAAGTTAGCTTGATAAAGAACAGTACCTTATATATGTAGTTCTCAGAAAATAATAACTAACGAATATCATTAAGGAATTGTTCTCTCTTTTTATACCTTCACTGTTTAGTCAGGATGTCATACAGCCCCTGTCGCTGAGGGGAGTTTTCGCTATCATGAAAAGCGTTAGCTTTTTATCAATTCTAGGCCCGTCATTCTCTGGCATGGTTCCTGCTTACCTGTTGCACTTTATTAACCAAATCGTCCTCATCAACCTAACTTTCCTTATCACGATCGTCGTTATCGTCCTCTGATAAACACATTCGATACGCTTGGCGTGAAACTAGTGAGTGGTTCTTCACTTAAATTGTTTGAAACTTTACTTATTTTAAATGGAGGTTTGCTTCTCTCTTTTGTTACAACTTTATTGTAAATTTCACTTCTTTTCGTTAAATCTACAGTATTAATTTTGTACGGCGTAATTTGCTCAGGTTGATTGAATCAATTATATTATCAAAGCTCAAACATGAAACGTTGAAAAAAATCCTGAATGGATATGCTCGGGAAATATCTAAGCATTTTATTACTCCGTAACATTTTTTATTCCTGCGACTAATTATTGATCAATTTAGTATTCAAACTGATTACTGCACTATTTAGAATAAAATTATTATTTTTTTCTGAATAATCCTATTCAAGGTCCATCTTTCAGTCTATATGTATAAATAAATTTAAATTGGAGTGATGTTCGTACATTGCACAATGACCCACAGCAACGCAATTAGTTTTTCAGTGTCTTTCACTAAGGGTTCGGCTAGTTCAGACATGGATAAAAAATCAAATTATTTTTCAACCTGCGTTACGATAAAACTTACTCAATATTTCGTGTCAACAGAAGTGATCATCGAGGCTGAGTGGCTGAGCGTAGACCCATACATGCGCTACAGGATCGCTAGAGGCAAGCCTGGCGATACCGTCTACGGCAGTCAGGTCGCCAAGTCAGTCAAAATTGAATTTATTGATAAATAAATAATAATAAATAATAAGAACGCTACTTTGTTTTTGAAATACGTACTCAAGAATTAAATACGTAGCATTTAGATTGACAAATTTATTTTATTTCCTTTTTTAATGACGGTAGTACCATGCTAAAATCAAGAGCTTTCTCCGTAAAAAAATTCTATCCGCTAATAATGTGTACCATAACATTTCTAATTTGCAGAAATGTATGTGCAATGATCCACAGAGCGTTCCTTTTTAATCGCTTTTAACTTGGAACAATATTTGTAATCTCCCTGTCACATTCCCCAGAGTTATCGAGAGCAAGAACCCAGACTGTCCCGTAGGCACCTACGTGGTGTCCTATCCCGGCTGGAGGAGCCATTCCAAGATCACCGCGGAGGGCATGAAGGATCCTTTCCAGTTTACCAAACTCTCGGATTTAGGAGGCATACGTCGCTCTGCTGCTTTGGGAATCTTAGGGATGCCTGGGTGAGAATTATTTTTACTTCTCTTTTGAACGAAGAACATCGGTGACTCGAGCTGACATTTTTCTTTTGATGCCGCGATCCCAATCCTTGATGATCTTAAGGTGTACATTTGATTTTGTTATTTTAATTCAACGTTCTTTGGCTACCTGTACGTTATTTTAAATTTAAATTTCAATCAGAAATACGGCATACTTTGGCTTCCTGGAGCTGTGCAGCCCCAAGGCGGGGGAGACGGTGGTGGTGAACGCTGCTGCAGGGGCCGTCGGTAGCGCCGTCTGCCAGATCGCTAAGATTAAAGGTGCGAATAAGTAGGGGTGGATAGGGTGGATAACCACTGAATTCATAGGAATAAATAGGGTCATTTAAAGGAGCTGAAGATATAATATATATAAAATTTAAGTCGTTCGTCCAATGAATCGGAGGTATTTCTTTGTGCATTGCAGAAATTAAGGTTCATTCTATCTGGAAACATCCGTGTTAAAATATAAGACCTTGTGCAGGCTGCCGAGTGATAGCATTCGCTGGGTCCCCCGCCAAGGTAGACTACGTCAAGTCGCTGGGCATCGAGCACGTATTCAACTACAAGACTGACGACGTCAGCCAAGTTTTGACCAAAGTTGCTCCCAATGGCGTTGACTGCTACTTCGATAACGTAAGCGTGTGATAAGTAAACGTATGATATACATTATGTTAAAAGCGAGAAATACACAATATCCATTGTCATCTGGATTAGTAAACGTATGATATACATTATGTGTGATATACATTATATGTGATATACATTATGTACATAAGCGAGAAATGTACGATATACATTGTCATCTGGATGCTACGTAAATGTTAAGCTCTTAACAATCTGGCTGTGGTGGTTTAACAAATTTGTAATAAATTGTAGTATGTTTCGAGGATGAGAACTTAAACATCGACTGACCAAGTAATGACAATTCATTATTGTATCTTGCAACAGGTAGGAGGCGACTTTACCGAGTCTGTGATGCCACACCTGGCGGAGTTCGCACGAGTGTCGGTATGTGGCGCTATCTCCACCTACAACCAACTGCCGAGCCTCGGCTCCAAGTCCTCTGGTAAAGTTTCCTCATTCATTCAGCCGAAAATTTTAAAATTTTCGGCCGATAATTTTCTCTGGTAAAAATTCTAGTAAAATTATCTCAGGAGAAAATTCTGGTAAAAACTTCTCATTCATTCAACCGAAAAATCATCTCATAAAATATCATTTACAATTACCAGAACATTCTGTAAAAGAAATTGCAATTCAATAATTCGCTGCCTTGTTCCTAATACCACACAAATAATTTTTTTTTGTATAATGCATTTATTGATCTGAACACGTGTATCTGAAGATAATCTGAAGGTTGTTTAGCTTATTGTTGAAATTAGGACTGAAATTTTAGGTAAACTGCGATGGAATACCACATTCACTGTTATGTAGTACATAAAAGTTTGATCATGGAGCCACAAACGTTTTATTTTACTTTTTGTCGAAAACCAGTTTCTAAGCTGCTACAGGACTTTTATTTTAAGTTTAGTAACTACTATCACTCTAAACTTTCCAGTCCCCTTCCCGATTTTATGAATAGTTTGATGGCTTGAACATTAGTCAATTACGATTGCTCTAAACATTTCAGACCCCTTCCCGACTTTATTAATTATTGCAGGACTTAAAAATTAGTCAACAATTAGTATTGCTCTGAAAATTTCAGGCCCCTTCCCGAGCGGTATCATCATCTCGAAGCAGATCAGGATAGAAGGCTTCATGGTGTACCGCTGGTCATCTCGTTGGATGGAAGGCATCAACCAGATCGCTCAGTGGATCAAGGAAGTTAGTCTAAATACGGTCGAATTGTTTGGCTGGTTAATTCTTTTGTAATTTGTGTTCGTCTTCAAAGCCTTTCATTTGCGTAAAACACTTAACGTACAAAAATTATTTAATTTAATTTTTCAAACCTCCTAGCAGCTTGTGTTCAATTTTTTGGAAACGTTTAAAAATTTTTTTGCAGCCTCAATGCCATCAAATATCATTTAGAGCTTATTTTCGATGACTCTCGCAACCTTGTAAACTTATTTAGTGATTTTAACTTCTCATTATCATTATTGACGCAAATTTAAATTCCATGAGTCATTCATCTCTGCCATCCTTTGCTTGTCAAAATTTTGATAACAATGAATTTTCTAACTCAATGATTGATAAGGATCCATGCATACTTTATTGCGATATTTTTATTCTAATTAAATATTTTTAATTCTTCAGGGCAAAATCAAGTATGAAGAATCCGTCTCAAATGGATTCGAAAACATGCCGAAGACTTTCATTGGACTCTTCCAAGGGGAAAATTTAGGCAAAGCGGTAGTTAAATACTAATGCCGTTATAGCTCATGCAAAGCAGGTATCTTTATTTTTAAGATAATTTTTACACTCATACCTTTTCATCTTAACCTAAATTAAGCTTTCGAAGTACAATAAATCAGGAAATATCTAAAAAACATGTGTCATTTTTGGAATGAAATACTAATTCTAAAAAATTCTACATTTCGATGTTTTTGTTAACTCGAGATATTTTATTCGTGTCGAAACGTTTATCTGCCGCAGATTCTTGTGTTATTTTTTTTTAAACCGTCCGAGTGAGAATTGCTAATTTATCTGTGTCTCTCAATGGGAAGATTTCGAGAATATTTCGAATAAGGTAATTTCCTAACCATAAGAACTTAAGAAGTCCCTTTGTTAAGTTTTTGTATCCCGACATTCAGATATGGCACGACATTCACTTCGTCCTCAATAAAATTTATTGCAAACTTGTTTGTGTCTGTTCTCTCTTCAACGAATGAATCCTCCTGAATAAATTAACGAATCCGTTAGCACTTTTTTACAATTTTGAATGACAAGTCCCACCGTCGAAAACGATTACAGTGCCAGCTTGGGTCGAAATAACGGTTCCGCTGCTAGAAACAACATTTCGAAATTCGAAAAAAAAAAATCTAACAGAAATTGGTTTCGTCAGTGATGCTTGATTTTAATTCTGGCATGGACAAGATTGAAAATACTGTACTACGCTTGAATTGCATTGCGTGTACATGCAACAATAGCTTTCCCTTTACTGAAATATGTCTTACGCGGTCTGAAGAATGGTCTGAAAAAAGGTATGACGAAATCGCTGCCGGAGTTGAAATGGTAGATGTCTGTGAGAGAGATTGCCCAGTTGCCCAGGAAAAACAATTAAGTATGTGAGAAAAACTTACTCTGTTGCAATGTTAACCCCATAGTGTTAGATAATTTTAGGGCAAACTTTTATGCCTCGGACAAATTTACGGCCGGACCCGCAGCCGGTCTCACAGCCAATCTCCAAATTCAATGACCAATGAATATCTCCCCAACTAATGAACGCAGCTCGATGAGACTTGGTACACGTATTCATTATGACCTAACGGTGATGTTTAGCTCGTGAAAAAATTTTCTATTTCACCTTCATTCGAGAGTTATAGAACAATTCTGGCCGAAATTTGCAGTGACCAAGAAATTTCTTCCAAACTACTGAACAGATTTGAACGAAACTTTAAATTTGCAAACCTAACCTCCCAATGATAATGTTTAGCTCATGTCGATTTTTTCGACTTTTTCATCGTTTGCGAGTTTTACGGCCATTCCCAAACGGCTCTTTGTCAATTCAAATTTCAAATCGGCCTCAGACATGTCTGTCGCTTCTCCGTATGCACGTACAGTATAACTCGCGAACGAACGCAAAATGAAAAAAAATGTCAGAAGCTAAACATCACGGCTGGGAGGTAAGGTTTGTATATTCAAAGTTTCGTCCAAATCCCTTAATAAATAGTTTAGGATAAATTTCGTGGTCACTGCGGATTTCGGCCCGTATTGCTCTAGAACTCAGGAATGAAGGTGAAATGAAAAAAAAAAAAACTCGAAAACAAAAGTAAAATCGAAAATTTGTCTCGAGCTAAGCATCACCGTTGGGAGGTTAGGTTTGTATATTCAAAGTTTCGTTCAAATCTGTTCGGTAGTTTAAAAGAAATTTCTTGGTCACTGCAAATTTCGGCACGAATTGCCGTAGCCTATAATTCACGAATGAAGGTGAAACGGAAAAAATTTCACAAGCTGAATATCACCGTTAAGTCCTGTTGAATACGTGTACCAAGTTTCATCGAACTGCGTTCTTTAGATTGGGAGATATTTCTTGATCACTGAATTTGGAGATTGGCCTCGAGACCGGCCGCGTGTCCGGCCGTAAATTTGTCCGATACGTCATACTTTTTGTGTTGGATATTCATTTCGGAAATAAAACATCTGAACTCATCTGTGATTCGGACAGATTCTGAAAAAAAACGCAATTATCAATCAAGCAAAGCAGATAAAGTGTTATTCAGCTGAATTTAAATTTCAACAAAGAAAATTCCCATTTTTCATACAGTTTGCACATTAAACTCCCTACATTAATAATTCTATTTCTATCTGAGAATACACGTAAGGACGATAGAATATGTCAATTTCCATGGTTTCACAACAGTTTTTCCTACAAAATCTCACTTTTAGGTTCAGCTTCTTGCCACAGATGGCAGCACAACAATGTACGCCTGTATATAGCGATTTCATGGTCACCGGTCCGACCAAACAACACAAGTTACACAACAGTCATCGCTTGACCTTGAGTGTGTGGGTATATGAGAGTAAGGTGGCAGATGCGCACTCTTCTTGAGATGTACGCTGGTTTTTTGACATTTTTTGCTGCGTTGTGATGATTAAACTACCTTCGCAATGCATACATTACCATGTTTATTGCTCTCGAATTATTTGAATATGTCCTTCATACTCCTAGTTTCTTTTCCCCTGTGAGGGGCTCGGGCTGTGCATGTGCAATACTTATAGTGATTACTAGTAAGTGATAGCGGTATCCCGTGTGGCGCGTGGAAGATAGCCAACTACCTAGTTATATTGAACTTTTTAATTACCCGTGTTGTCAATGCCATTAATGCCAAACGGCCTTCATCAATGCAAACCCTACCGCTCAAATGTTTTATGGTCAAAGTCAATTTGTCAAAGTCTCCAATAATTTAGGCTGTAAGTCCCTCGAGTTCAACACTTGTCAATTATTTAAAATTTTAAAACATCAGATAGCGCACGCCGCACGGCACATTAGTGACAATGACATCGTGACAATACCAATGGCGATGTTGAATCGTTTTATATCATCTGATCATCTCATTATTCATTAAAAACTATTATACCTACCTAATTCCCGCTTTAGGCGTTCATAACAATTGATGTAAGAAGATCTAAATTCTTATCTCAAAAGATTGTCATATTTTCGTATCATTGCAGTTTGCAGGATTTTTCAGCGAGCTTGAGCAGTGAATTTGAAGCCTAATACTCATGTAACTGTGCTTACCTACTCGTTTCAATGTATAATCATGTCGGTCGTGCGTAGATTATTTTTGAGTGCGCCATACTACCAGCAAGCAGCAAGACGCTCGTCCACGAGTGTCGAGGCCAGGGTTGCCAGATGGAGCCGAGTGAAAAAGGCCAATTTAGCTCACAAAAAAGGCCACAAAAGGCCTCATTTGAAATTAATAAGAAATTCTTAAATTAAAGGTAGTTCTAACCATTCGCAGGGCATGCATTTACTCTCAACGCTTTCATAAAGCAAAAAAACTACACCAATTTCACCAAGTGTACGAGCTGAATTACCGCCAATGCCACATAAGCCGCCAGGTTCCAGCCTGCACGTTTCTGCACGTTACTTGCTGACCGTAAATAAAACCGTATAATACAGGTAAAGAACTATGATATTTAGGATTCGATTGCCACCTTACATCTATGAAGCTTTTCGATCGCGTTAGAAAGTTTTGGCTCAGTTTGCTAAGAAAATACATAGTGAAGTGGCCGGCGACATTAATGAAGTGGCGAAGTTCTGTGGTATTGATGGTAGAATATTTATACGCGGAAATGAAAATAAATGTAAACTCATATCTGCAGTATAAAGATGATGTGGTGCTTGCAAGACTAAAGTATATATTATTTGTCAATCCTATAAATTTGTCACAACTTTTGAATGCGTAGAAAAAAAATATTGCCTATCATAATTCGGAGAAGAGTAAATTATATTTATTCAAAGTGAAATTTTGTAGTGACTCACACCAGAAGGCTGAATGTATGGATAAACAGGGCTGTAACCTCAAAAATTAGTGCTGAATTTACTATTTAGAAGTGAAAACTATACTCGATTATACGCGCTCTCAGCTCTGCCATCCGTGGTTATTTATACCACTCGGCAACTGGATATAGTCCCATGGTTCAACACAAATGTTGCCCGAATTGAGCGGCACTCGCCAATGTTGCCACCTAAACCTGTAAACCGAAGAGTTGACACAGTTACGTGTCAAAATTAGAGTTTATTCGTCTTGGGCAAAACTAAATTTAGGTGTACTCGTCTTGGATAAAATTGAAGGACCAAATTATCAGAAAAAAACGGGAATTACACTTTTCATAAAAAAGGCCCAAAACGGATAAAAAGGCCAAATTATTTTTTGTCAGGCCAATGCCTTTAAAAAAGGCCACATCTGCGAAATTTGGCCTGAAAAAGGCCCATCTGGCAACACTGAATTTCAGACTAGCAACCAATGGAACACCTCAAGGATGATCGTGCGCATGACATTCCGGAAATCAGTAAACTGATCGTGACATCGTGTAGTTACTAGTTAACCCATGGAACAAATAAAACTGAGGAATTGCGGAACCGCTGTCGGGTATGTTGGTAGCGAAAATTTTGGTGCATGCGACGAGAAAGTATTAAAATTCAGTTCAGTAGGACGTTCAGTATTAAAATGAATGAATGGCTGGCATGATATACTTAGGCATTGAATCACAAAGATGAATGAACCCATCATTCTAGAACTCGTTGTTTGAACACGGGTAATCGTGTAATGTGGCTTCTTTAGGCAACGACACTTCCGCGTGATTGCACGTGCAAATGGTTTAAAATAAAAATTAATTTCTCCGTCTTCAAAAAAACTAAAATTTAATTGATTAACCGTAACCTAACGTGTCCGTCCGTGGTCGGCTTCCATTATACTCAGTTTCTATTAGCGAAAACTTATGGGAGCAAACCTGATTTCGCTATGGCTAGAAGATTAGATCAAAAAATAGTTTGAAACAAAAATTTTTAGTAGTATTTTCTAATAAAAATCATTTGAACGTAATAACACCTTTAGATATTTTGGAACGCGCGTCGGGACAAAAAAATAATTGTTTACATTGAAGGTAGCCCACCTTCACGGTGATGATAGTGTACACAAGTTTACTAGTAAATACTGAAGTTTAGTAGTAAATCAGTACTGAAAGTACTGATCTCATTGACCTCTTCGTGGAGCCTCTTAATTTCGTTCAAACTTGTCTAGAGACCTACAAGCTCTTCTTGAGTATTAGGGTACGCACACAGTGAGAGCCAGGTTGCCAGCGTGCTGGTTACCTGCTCAGGCTGGCGCCTACAACCATAGAATACAGAAGCCTATTCGTACAGGTTTTCACTGTGAACACTTACATTATTATCCTATGTTCATTCTTGTGGCAGGTTGAAACCATAGCATACAGAAGCCTATTCGTACAGGTTTTCACTGTGAACACTTACATTATTATCCTATGTTCATTCTTGTGGAAAGGTTGGAGCAGATTGACCGCGCGGGCAAACCTGCTTTCACTGTGTGCGTACCCTTATTCCGGAACGCCGACATCCGAGTTCGTGTGACAGAGTCTCAGGTTAGAAGGTTTGCGGGTTGCTTACTTACCGTACGCGCGACCTATAGAACTTGAGTTTTTTTTTTTGGATAAAATTGAAGGACCAAATTATCAGAAAAAAACGGGAATTACACTTTTCATAAAAAAGGCCCAAAACGGATAAAAAGGCCAAATTATTTTTTGTCAGGCCAATGCCTTTAAAAAAGGCCACATCTGCGAAATTTGGCCTGAAAAAGGCCCATCTGGCAACACTGGTCGAGGCTCGAGTTTGGACGTTGAAGTATAAATGCAGAGGGTTGCCCAAACTTTCCGATTTCGAATGCAAGTCGGAAATTCTTCCACCTTGTGATGATGGAGGTTAGAGTCTGTTAATAATGCTATATATTTTTGTTAACTCAGAACGTTATTCGATTCCTAGTGGGAAAAAAACTCATTATCATTTAGCATTTTAGTTACTGAAAAAATCACTAAACGACTGCCAAAAAATATAGTTCTGTTCCCTTTTTGCAATTAGTTTTAGTGATAATTCGGTTTCCTGATTATGTAATTTGAATTTTGTTTTAGGCCATATGATCAAATGCACGTAGATTCATCCTCATTTTTAACCCTCAAATTTTAGCATCAACGAATAAATGCGTCAAATTTGTTTCAGGTCCTTCAATCACCTAGCGATTTCAATGTAGACTTGTTGCTAAATTAATCTCATATTTACATTTTTATTTGTAATTTAAATGAATTTAAAATATATTCGTTGGTATACAATTCTTTTTAGTAATCTAATGATTAAGTTGAACTGATGATTTCTATTATTACAGACGTCATAATCGCCGCGGAGTGGCTGAGCGTGGACCCATACATGCGCTACAGGATCGCCATGTCTAAGCCCTGTGACGTCATCGTCGGCAGTCAGGTTGCCAAGTGGGTCCAAACGAATAATATTGAGTCGGCAGAATATTATTCGATAAAATTGGCTTGAAAGTTAAAGAAAATACTTTAATTACAAGAGTAGATGAACTATTCCCGCATTGAGTTAGGTCTCGTTCTGACGAAGCTCAATAATTTCCTTACTCGTTTCATAGATTTTTCACCTGTAGTAGCTAATGACCACGTTATCTTTTTTTCATTTGATTACTAAAAATTGTTTAGTTTCTGGATTAGGTTGAACTGTTCGTTGGAATGATTATTCTAGCTGCTACCGAATTCCCGCATAAACTTGGTCCCTTCATGACGATTCCTGTTTTCGTACCGGTTAGTGAGCAGGGTTGTGATGACCATTACTGATGTGCCCTGACTTTAGCTTGTGAATTCAGCGAAAAAATACGCTTTTCCATTGCGGCGGTGCCCAGACATGTTAATAAACTTTATTCGCCAATGTTTAGAGTTAATTTTCAAATTTTAATTTATATAAAATGTCTCTTTCGTATTAGCTACCGGTACTTTATACTCGACAGCAAATACATACATCCATAACAGTTGGTTTACGTGTCAGGGAAGAGATCGCTTGGTTTTCTCAAATGACAGTATATACTGACATTACAGTTAGTCTCATTTGTTCACAACACTGTGAAGACATCCGTTACGGTTCGTTAAGGTGTCAGCAAAGAGATCGTTTGGTTTTCTCAAATGACAGTATATACTGACATTACAGTTGGTCTCATTTGTTCACAACACTGTGAAGACATGCGTAATAGTTCGTTAAGATGGCTGTAATACGCCGTGTTTCCACAGAGTCATCGAGAGCCGCAACGCAGACATCCCTGTAGGGAGTTACGTGTTGGCCTACCCTGGCTGGCGCAGCCACGCACGCGTGTCCAAACAACACACGCACAACCCGTCCACCTTCACCAAACTCCCAGACTTCGGCCCCATACGACGCTCGGCCGCACTCGGCATCCTGGGCATGACTGGGTAAAGCCCAGGCTGGATAAATTTCTTCTTTTGCTTCATGTAATTATCTATAGACAAGAAAATATCTTCTTTTGCTTTCTAGTATAAATAAAAATGATTATCTGAGTCGGATACTCATGAATTATTCTCTGTGGGTAAACAGCGGGGCTCAGTGAATTTATAATACATAATCCTCTGGTCCACTTGTCCTCTTGCATGTATCCTCTCAATACCGTAAAATGGGGTAACTTAGACCACTTTTTTTTTAATTTTTTAACCTATTAGATATGCAAACTTTTCAAATCTTTCTATTGTGTTATGTAGCCTCAGTATTAGGCCTTTAATGCCCCTTGACAAAATTTTTCTATGTCAAATAGTTTTTGAGTTGTGGGGGTTTTTGTTAAAAAAAACAAAAAGTGGTCTAAGTTACCCTGCCGGTCTAAGTTACCCCATTTTACGGTACTTCACTTCCGGTGTCTGTTTAGTACGTTCTTAAGTTACAATAATAGATCACTTGACTTAAATTACTGGCCAAACCGACAAAACCTTGCAATTAATATAAATAACACATGCACAACGAACAGGAATCATCCGGGCTCGAGTAAACAATTGCGGAGCAAAGCACAAAAGGTTCATTGCCGTTTTATTCCGGGCTATAATTAAGCCGTTGCTTGAATTTTTCTACGCGCTTTCAATTATCTTAATTTTTGTTTACATTTTATTGCTTGTTTCTGGCAGCAACACGGCATACTTTGGCTTCCTGGAGCTGTGCAGCCCCAAGGCGGGGGAGACGGTGGTGGTGAACGCTGCTGCAGGGGCCGTCGGTAGCGCCGTCTGCCAGATCGCTAAGATTAAAGGTGAGAATAAGTGATGGGAGATGAGCAGTACTTGGAAATGAGCAGAAATTGGAGATGAGCAAAAAAGGGTGTTAAGCATAAATGGGAGGTGAGCGGGCCTTGAAAATATTTTGGTGAAAATAGAATTGATAATTTTATGCTTTTTTTGTCGTATGTTTTCAATAAATACGTGTCAAACTCGGCCATATAATGGTAAAAAATAATGAGGATTTAGGAAACTCTAGTGAAAAGTCAATACAACTTAAAATTCGTCATATCCCGCAATAAGAAATCGGCATTACGAATTGGTGAGCTTTCATCTGAAAAGCAGCTCACATATATCTTTAGTGTAAAAATCAGATTCCAGAAACATTTATATTAAGTAGTGCTGACAATTTCGCACAAACCTAAGTATTCTAGAGCTAGACTAAAGTTAGAGTACAGGAGCGGCAAGGCGTAGGTAACGGCTTCTTAGGCAACAGTTACTCTCTACAAAGAACAAAGTCGAGGCAACGGTGACTCCCTGCAAAGAACAAAGTCTAGGCAACAGTGACTCCCTACAAAGAACAAAGTCTATTTAACATTCAATTCGATAAAGTACCCTACACCGATATCAAAATAAAATGATGCATTAAACATCAGCAAACACAATATTAATACAACCCTAAGAAACGCAAAGGAATAGGTACAGTATCAACCGATACAGTAGGATATTAAGACTATACTAGAACATTCTCCGCACCTCTGCAGTTGCTGAATTCCACTCACAACTCCTTGCACATAACCCAAATGCATGTCCGCATAGAATCCGCACACTGCTACTGGATCGCCAACCGCTCTCCTGATTCTAAATTCAGCACATCGGCTCCTCTGATCTCTTTCTTCACATAGTTGTCTAAAAAGTCCCGAATAAAATCCCTACAGATAATAAGATCCCGAATAATGACGTAAATTTTATTCATTCTATTAGTAATCAAACAAAATATCAGCATCACCCTTGTGGGTGACCAGTATAAGGAAGAATAATTGAATATAAATAATAAAGATGAATGGGCATGAACGAAAGCACCGAATTATTGTGCTTGGCTACGGCATCATTATCTGCTACTCGGTTGCTTAGAGGCTTCCTGTCTGCGGCATTTTCTTATGTATTCTATAATCCAAACAGAATAAATTAATGTAAGTTGATCAAGTGTTAAATCAATTGTTTGGTTTATTGAATTTTTCCAGTATGATTAACGAACTGTTTATCTTAGTGTTAATTAACATTTTTCGAATATATTTGATGCTTATGATCTTTTACACCCTTGGCCATTGCTGTCACTGGACATGGGCTTGTACTTAAATGCAATAATAAAGGTATTTACTAGTTTATTAGTTCGCATTTCTTTGCCGGGGTTAATTATATTTTAACATTGTGTTTTGGTTTTCAGGATGTCGCGTGGTGGCGTTTGCAGGAGGCGCCAGGAAGTGCGACTACGTCAGGTCGCTGGGCGTCGATGAAGTCCACGACTACAAGAGCGAAGACATCGGTGCTGTCCTCAAGGCTGCCGCCCCCGACGGCGTCAACTGCTATTTTGATAATGTGCGTATTTATTTGCGCAGTAACTAATTTATCCAGTCTTTTTATGTTTCAGGTGCTAGTTTTTTAGTTTCATTCCATTTAGTTTTTGCCACCATCTTCACGGTATAATTGAATCGTAATGACATGCGCGCATTATGTTAAGGAATCATCTGTTTGTAATTTACATCATCTTCTAATTTCTATTAACTGAAAAATAAAGAATGCAAATTGCATCGAGCGGTAGCAACGATGATTTACGTAATGAATACTTGAAATTCCGTTTTTACGCGTTCTTTGATGGGTGTTCATTTTATTGACAATATTTCAACACAACGCCATTCTCAACATGTTAAGGATGTATAGAAAATATCTCCGACATGAGGTACTAAAACGAGTGTTTTTCTGCGCTGCAATGCTCATTGAAACAACCTTCTTTTCTGTTTATTGAGGTGGGCGGAGACTTCACTGCTGCGGTGGTTCCACACATGGCTGAGTACGGCAGAATATCGCTCTGTGGGACCATCTCCACCTACAACAAACAGCGCGGGGAACAAACTGCGCGTGAGTGTCATGAGTTCTGTTTGTTTGTCTATTGATGGTCAAATAGCGAAAAGAACTTACATGTTCGTGAGTGCCATGAGTTCCGTTAATATGTCCTTTAATAATATATTTTGTACATCGCAATGGCTAAGCTGAATTTCTCTTCAGTTGATAATTCATTCAATTTTGCAAGTAAAATACTATTATCATCCATCACTCTATCTTTTCCAATGAGAAATGACTCGTGTGTTTGTACTAATTTCTTTCAGTCACTATATTTTTTTGTACTTGTGCATCACTTCAGTCATTGATCCTCCATCAGTGAAACAAGTAGATCCTTCAATCCTATGCTATTTCTATTTCCATCATTCATTAATTGCTTTACATCATTAATCACAATTTACGGTTTTTGAATTTATGAAAAATTCGTTGAACGTTAAAACAATAAGTTTTCTTGAGAACGACCGTAGTTTCCTCCTCCATTGATGGGAACTGTACTCGGCAGCTCCTCTGGACCCAGGCTGGCTGATCCCCAAGCAGATCAGGACTGAAGGATTCATCGTGACGCGATGGGCGCCAAGATGGATGGAAGGAATCGGGCAACTGGCTCAATGGATCCAGGAGGTGAGGGAAATAATCTGCTGGCTCATGTAGTTCAGTATAAGATGGACTAAGTCAGCTAGCTTAATGGAACCATCTGACTAGCAGAATATGTCATTAGTAAGCTGGCCACATGGGGCTGCATATTAACACATTATTTTTCCCTGCTCATTATCCATCGAAGTAAATGTTCACTGTTGAAGTTTTTACCAATATATTTGTTGATATGTTATACATTGATACATGTTATTGTATCTCTTGACTGGAGGTTTAGCTTTACGCGCATCTCCATGCGTATTTTTTACTTAACGAGTTCCGCCTGTAACGTTGATCCACTATCTCATGCGGCAGGGCAAGCTGAAGTACAACGAGACTGTCATCGAAGGATTCGACAACATGCCTGAAGCTTTCATCGGTCTCTTCAGAGGAGACAACATCGGCAAAACCGTCGTCCAGTTCTGAAGTCCGGGAAGTTTGTTAGCGTCTGATGTATCTTAACGGTTGCTGCCATTCTCGAAGCCAATATCTATGAAGTGACTACCTCCACAGATAACCGCATAAGCTATCTAAGGCTAATTACATATGCAGACAAACAATTTTGAAATTGGGCATGAAACCCTGCCAAGTCATCAAATTTAAAAAAGGACATTTCTAGCGAATCGCATGTTGTTTGGAAGTCTTTCCTGTTGCTTCATCAGCGAGGAGGATATAATCGACACCAGAACCCAAACGAGTTTAGATTTCTCATGTACCGTTTAAACCATTAATATTAATTGATATTCTAGAAGCCAGGCTGAATTCGATCGAGTGTTTGACCGGAAAAGTTTTTCAAGTTGAAGGCGTCATGAACTTCAGGAATTTTTTAGTTTGGTCCTGTTGAGAACTCGATCTGAGTGACACCTTTGTCTGCCATTTATACGATTTCAATATACTACATCATATTGCTTCGATGGTGTCTTAAGTATTTATTACATACGAACTTTGTTGTTGTTAGATTCTCTTTTTTGTTCATCCAAGATTGTGCCGGAGTAACCATTAACACATGAACTGATGTAATACGTATTTTTGTGAACATACAATTTCGAATAATCTTAGCATTTCACTTCCCCAATTTTAATTTATCTAGACCTTTTTCAATAGACAATATCGAAATGGAACTTTGATAATTAGTGAACTAAGCGACGCCGGCTGCAACCGGTTTTAATTTTCCATTAATTTAACTGTGTTAAAGTTTTCGTAATTCTTTTTGAATTCTACGTAGATATGTATCATAAGAACACAGTTGAATACTCGTTGAGTATAGGTCAAGAAACCATGTATTAATGGTCGAAAATCGCACGTGGCATGTTTTAACTACAAATATTGCACGAAATTGTAGTTGGTAGGGAAATCCTCACTCAGACATTGAGGTGGTCAATAACAATGTTTGATGCTAGAATCTATGGTTCCCAACATCTCATCAACCTTTGGTTTATTGCGGAACCAAAGCGATCGAAGCCTCCAAGATGTTATAGACGGAAGAATGCGACGACAATGCTTTATTTGGGTGAGTTAGAAGGGAAATTTAGGGTTTTAGCTATTGGGGATTTCTTTATTAATAATTAGTTTTGGAAATATGGTACAGAACTCATCCGTTAGCGATACTGAAAAAAATCATATTCAAATCAAAAATTCGAAATTTAAATAAAGTATCTCCAGAAAACCATCTCAGCCGCTTGGTGATCGTCTTTTTGGTTAACCAATTACGATTATAGCTTCTAGCTTTCAGATTTTTCGGAAAAATTGTCAAACTAAAAAGGTAAATGCTCAATGTTGAAAAAACACTATTTATTAAAAACTTGGAATTTTTAAGACAACTCTTTAATTAGCTGTACTCTAAATTAGGTTAATTATCACCATCAATTCGCGTGATTGAGTATTACGACCTCAAGCATTCCTCATTATGTCCTCATGCATTCAATAAGCACATTCACCGCTTTTGGGAAATGTCCAGAACTTTATTTTATTGCTTATGTAATTAACTAGGTATAATCAAGATCAAATATTACTGATATCCAAGTTATGGAGCAACTCTCTACTCTCTAGGCATTGAAAGCTACCGAAGCCACGCGGGCTCAGTTTCAAAGTGCGGGCGCATAAACCTAACTTCAAAGCGCGACTGACGTGGGCTGAGGTGACGGCTAATCATGGCTCTCGAGCCAGTCTCCTGTTCGACATTCCCGTCTAGCTCATCATCGGTGTTTAGATATTTCTGAAATAAAATACTTAAAAAAAAACTTTTTAAAAAACCACGTTTTTCTTGTGGACTAAATAATAGAAAAAATAAATAACTTAAAAAAAACTTTTTAAAAAACCACGTTTTTCTTGTGGACTAAAAAGTAGAAAATAAATTATTGTTCGCCCCAAAAAAACGTGTGTCGGGCAGATTTATGATTAAAGCGAAAAGCACACAACTAAACAAACAAACAAACGCGAAGCTAAGCTAAGAAAAACGTGTTAAAATATTCTGCTCTTTATCCTGAAGTATAATTAAATTTTTGTCGAAATCTCCGTTCGGTGTAATTGGACTTAATGGCTTAAAGTCAAAATTCCAGCCTTTTTGTTGAGCTGGCACGACCTTCAAATACAATTCATCGGAATCAATCCAGCCTAGAAGACGAAAGAATCAGAATTATATATTCTCGAGTTTATTCTGAACGTGATTTTTCTACTTTTTTTGCATGAAAGAATATGTCTTGAAACTATAAATAATTAAACTGTTGTAAGAATAAAGTTTGCGTGGTTTAGAGCTCCGGCAGCTCATATCAGCACAGGGGAAGGTATTGGCTTGCGGTAGCGCTGCACCTGCACCGTGCAGTGCTGCACAGAGTACCGCCGCTGCAGTAGCTGCACCGCGCTCCTCTGTACCACCTCGTAGTCGCTGAGTGGGTCTGTAACAAATGAGATCTGTGATATAATTCCAGCCTGAGTGATTGTAATTACTGGCGTTACAATTAGAAAAATGCTTGCATTTACGGAGTGTATCCACATAGCCCTGAAAATCGTGTATACTCTTCTTAAATAAGTTCATGTAAATACATGATTATGAAATCCTGTCCCTCATATTATTTATTCATAAAACATCACCTATGTTACATCATTATTATTCGAGCACTTTCCTCGATTACAAAGGCAAAAAATGACATAAAATCTTGAACATCGTAAATAATAAATTATTAAAAATCAAGTCTAAGCTATTCAGCGATTGTTTTCTGTTTTTTATGTTTTTCTTGACCTATTTGAAGTCTCACAGCCGCGGCGTTAACGTCGAAGTTCAGCGCCCAGACCTGTACGGCCTCAACGCGCCTCACCCCCGCCACCCCAGCGAGCGCCTCCAGCACACCAGCCATGGACACGACAGCTGGGCAGCCTTCCAGCAGCACCTGGACCGCAGTGTGAGATTACTGAGTTACAGTATATATGTGGTTTTGACGGTAGCAATTATCTAGTAAAGGTAACTTGTTCTATTTGGGACATAATTTATTATGTTTCTGTGTTAGACATCTATACTTTGTTCCTTGTGCTGGTCATCTATACCTTTCTCCTAACGAGTTGGGCATATTTACTTTGCTCCTGGTTATGCATGGCATCATTCCAACAGTACGTGCTTCATCAGGCATGAAAAATGTTAGACAAGAATGCAAGGAGGATAAACAGTAAATGAAATTATAACAAATTAAACACATACGAATATTGAATAAAATTCTCAAGTTACTTACAAAGATTCAGAGTGAGAACCTTGGTTAAATGTATATGTTAGCCTGTTAGGCAAGCTACATGAACACTGCGCGTCGTAATGCTTAAGGGGACCGGCTACCCCCCCAAAAAACTCCTACAGTTATCATCCGATCATCATGAAACTTCACATACATACGTAAAATGTAAAAAAAATAACATTTTGTTCGTATGAATTTTTCGAAAAATTGATAGAAAACGTGAAATTCATAGAAAACGGCTAAAAAGGGGTACTACAGAAAATCGATCTCCTCCTACAAATATCGTCCTACAACATCCAGACACATATCATTCGATTCGTAAAGACCATATCTATCGACGTGGCCATCGCTTTTTTCATTTTCCCCATATTTTTTTTAATGCGCGTTTTTCCCATTTTTTCACTTTTTTCACCCCCTCCCCCCTTCTCCCCCATATATAAGACGAACCATGCACAAATTCAAAAAAAGCGATGGCCACGTCGATAGATAAAGTTTTTACAAATCGAATGATATAACTCTCATTGCTGTAGCTTGAAAACTGTAGGAGGAGATAGGTTTTCCGTGACAGTAAGTTCAATAAGTTGAACTTTCCAGGACAGCTCGACAAAGTCCCGCATGCCTCGAAATAGGCACTCAATGTAGCATGGATACCAACGTAAAGGCTTCTTGTTGCTTAGTCCACTCAAGGATGCCAGCAGCAACTCGTAGCGCAACCCTCCGTACGAAGTTAGGAGGGTAACTGAAGTCAGTTGCCAGATACAGCAACATATGTAGTCTTCACTGTTGAATTACGTAGGTTCTATTTGTTAAGGAATTCCCCCCCCCCCCTAACTCTCCCACCCGCCTCCGTTTAAAGAGCCGTCATGAACGTAAATATTCACGTAGAGAGATGGCAGTGATACCATTGGAAAGAGGAGAATTCCAGCTTTAAGATGAGTATAAAAACCGGAAAACGACAAAATTGAAAATTTTAGGGTAGCCGGTCCCCTTAACAACAGGAATAACGCTAACTATGTAAACAATAAATGCACAAGTAATAGTGTCACTAGATTGCTTGAATCGCAGATTCACTAGAAATTTAAAAGCGAAGAAAACTCCACAAAAATTCAGCATTTCTCTATTGAAAACGTTTCGGAGACCAGCTCCATCGTCAGTTCGATAAATCTAGAACACAAATACAGTCAGAAAATGAATAAAGTTGGGAGTCATAAGAAAAACAACAAAAACAACAGAAGTTAAAACCAAAATTTACAGGCAAAGGGCAGAATAATAAAGAAATACCTATCTATTCATAATTTCTAATGGATAAGAAGTGTAGGCAGCATTTAAACTAGGCTTCTCTTTAAAAATATACAATGATTCTAAAATGCGCAGATCGGAAGCACCAGAACTATAAGCTAAAATCTTAAAGTCAGTGTCGGACACCGGAACGTTGCACTGTTCGGCGTGAGTGCGCACAGCCGAATGAGGAGGGCGCGATAGTAACTGCCCAGTCCTATAACTCCTATCTTTATGCTCAGCGACCCTAGTGTAAAGGTTGCGTGCCGTCATTCCGACGTACGCAGATGCACATCGTGCACAACTAAATTTATAAACTAGGGACGATCGCATGTGAGAAGGGAGGATATCTTTGTACCTAAAAAATGAACCTATTTTAAAATTGTTAACCAGTAAGATACGTTCTTCTAGATTCAAGTTAAACGGGCTTCAAACACTATTACACCGTGGCTTCCGTATATGCTCGACTTTCCATGCCATGCATTCTGAATTTGAATTTTTGCGCAACGTCTTCTCGCTTAATGGATTTCCTTCTGGCCTGGTGTTTACCCAGATTAAGAAATTCATGTCTAAGCAATACAGTGAAGTTGTTCCAGAGCCTGATAGTAGAAAAGTGGTTTACTGTTCTTTTCCATACTTCGGCCATGCGTCCGAAGTTATGTCAAGAGAATTAAAAAATTTGTTTATGAAATACTTTCCGGACATTAATCTTTGTATCTTACCGGTTAACAATTTCAAAATAGGTTCGTTTTTTAGGTACAAAGATATCCTCCCTTCTCACATGCGATCGTCCCTAGTTTATAAATTTAGTTGTGCACGATGTGCATCTGCGTATGTCGGAATGACGGCACGCAACCTTTACACTAGGGTCGCTGAGCATAAAGATAGGAGTTATAGGACTGGGCAGTTACTATCGCGCCCTCCTCATTCGGCTGTGCGCACTCACGCCGAACAGTGCAACGTTCCGGTGTCCGACACTGACTTTAAGATTTTAGCTTATAGTTCTGGTGCTTCCGATCTGCGCATTTTAGAATCATTGTATATTTTTAAAGAGAAGCCTAGTTTAAATGCTGCCTACAGTTCTTATCCATTAGAAATTGTGAATAGATAGGTATTTCTTTATTATTCTGCCCTTTGCCTGTAAATTTAGGTTTTAACTTCTGTTGCTTTTGTTGTTTTTCTTATGACTCCCAACTTTATTCATTTTCTGACTGTATTTGTGTTCTAGATTTATCGAACTGACGATGGAGCTGGTCTCCGAAACGTTTTCAATAGAGAAATGCTGAATTTTTGTGGAGTTTTCTTCGCTTTTAAATTTCATAAATGCACAAACAATGTGATTAAAAATTACGAGCTAGCAATTCGCTCGCCTCACCAAAAGGATTTGCTTGAGTGCTGGCAGTGTGCTGGTCAGCACGATGCCGCAGCTCAGGATTGTCAGCACAGGATCCAGCAGCTTCCATGTCGGCTGACAAAATTTGGGATGCTGAATTCAAGTGTTTTTTCAAACGGTAAAATAAGCATTCCTCATTTTTATGCTGGTAAGATATTTCAAATCTAAAAATAAGTTTTAGGACACGATGAGTTGATCTTTGATTTAATTTTACCACTGAAACCTCCTAAAACTTCTGTCACACATTTCCCCAGTCCTCATCAAGCGGTAGAATACGTATTCTGTATTTTTCGCTGGTAAGATATTTCAAATCCTAAAATGAGTTTTATGATACGATGAGTTGATCTTTGATTTAATTTTACTACTGAAACCTAGAACTTCTGTCATTCATTGCCCCAGTCCCACCTGAACCCTGATGACCAGAGCCGCCACCAAGACACTTGCCGTCAACGTCACGTCGCCGTATGCGTGCAGGAGCGACACGCGCAGCAGCGGCGCCCGTGTCGGCCTTCTGCTGTTCGTTCCACCAACGCCGAAGAACGGCGTTTTTTGGTCAAATTTTGTTGCATGTGAAAACTTGTAGGAGGACGAAATCCGGGGTAATTTTCTTGTGCAAAACGGGCGTATTTCCCCACGAAGGAGTAAGATTATTCTGTTGGAGAAATTCTAGATGGAACATTTAATTCGTAGTTAATTTATCACCAAATTACATGAATGTGTTTGTGCTCTTACAATACTGGCAGTTCTTTTGCTTGACGCGTATTTTATTCAAGCCAAGCGGCCTCAGACCTTGAGGGTAAAAACGTTCACTAGGGCAACTTTCGAAGCAGCAATAAAGTTACGCCTGCCCTAAATTCAATAAGCTGACACCCAGCAGCCAATATGCCGACATGGCGTTTTAAGTCGGACGGATCTACGGTACATTTTTTTCTATCATTTTATTGCCTTTGATTGCTCTTCAACACCAACGGATGCATATCTAGGAAATCTTTCCAAGCGTTATGAAGTATCTTCCACCAATAATAACTAGAAATTTCCTGATCAAAATGTGTATCACATTCTTTATCGCGAAGTACCGTAGCATGAAATTTCATCTTGAGGGGATTTTTTTAAACATCCAATGAAATTTGGTTCTTATTTCTATTACATCTTGATAAAAATATTAATTTTTCCCATTAACAATATTTCTGTCTGTATCTCTAATTTTACTTTCTCTCTGAAGCCTAATTTTTCCAAAATCAGAGCAAAGCTCAAATTTCGCTATCATTCATTATTGATACAACTTGACTAAACTGGAGGGACAAAATATATTTAAAAAATCAAGGATTACATAGGGTTGAATGTTCAGAATTAACTAATAGGCTTCCATGGAGGTTCAATAAATAGAAGTCAACAATGGAGGCGAGTGCGTCTTGTGAGGCGAAGTGATGAACTAACTTGACAGGTGATGGCGGATGGAAAGAGGGAGTTTTCCAATCACTTAAAATCACATTGAGATTAACACAACAAATATTTTCGAAAAAATCAATCGATCCAAGTAGAGCGAGGTTAAGAATATCATTTCAAGATTATCACAAATGTCATTATCTGATGATCACTTACAATAGATTCCCTGCAAAGCCGAGCAGTGCAGAGACGATCATGAGATCAGGATCAAGATCTTCGTAGTGCAGAGACGCCACACGAGCCGCCGCCGCGTAGACCAGCAGCCCGCACACCAGCCATGTCTGCTGTACGCTTACCAGACTGCACACAACCTCTGCACAACATACGTGCATACAACCTCTGCACAACATACGTGCACACTACAACCTCTGCACAACATATGTGCACACAACCTCTGCACAACATATGTGCACACAACCTCTGCACAACATATGTGCACACAACCTCTGCACAACACGCAAAATATTTATTGTTCCCGAAAAATATCAGTATTGCGGAACTAGAAGAATAAACAGACAAACTTGTCTCGTTCCAATACAGAACAGCTCGTACTTGGGATTTAGAAAATTCAAGGTTTGAAACTAAGATTGCAATATTTTCTGAAAGCAGGTCTTTTTAAGTTATATTGACATCCGAATAACACATTCTCATTACAAATAAGAAGGCCTGCCGTAAAAATCATTTTTAATAATTGTTTTTGTTTGTATTGGCTGAGTTTCTGAATGAATAGTGAACAAGATCATTTTTGCTTAGCAGGCTCATCTCAGAGCACACACATTTTGCTGGATATAGCCACCACAGAAAAAATTCATAGTTTAGGTATGGTAACAATAGCTTATATTTTGAGCTTCTCATTCGATCTAGATCTATCATTGTTTATCAGCTTCAATCAAAAAGATTTTTATAATGAATCTCAGAGTAAAATAACTCGCCTTGGATTCATTTATTCATCGAAAATTGATATCTATATATGGCATCAAAATTCTACTATCACAATAATCATTGACTTTGACTGCCAAAAGCTACACAGCACAAATCAAAGTCGTTCATGTATCATGGCAGCCGCAACCTGCACAACTGAGAAGCATCTCTCTCATCTCGTCGACTCTTATTGTTGGCAAATCGTACCCTCCACATCCTACTCGGATCTTTTAACCCGACACGTCTTGCAAATGATGATCCTGAGATCCTCTGCAACCCCAATGATATCCCCAACGGACCCGGTTGCATCTGTGGGCCAGCGATTATTGCTGCTACTGCTCGCTCATCTTCAGTCATCATTGATTCTTCATTGAGCCTACTTAATTACACAGACATCAGAATAAAGGCAAGACGTTTTAGATGAAGAAATAATTGCACAAATTGCGCCGACAAGTGTCTGAAGCTGGAGAATCACTGAATATCTTTTATAGCCAGCCAAGTCACCACTAACATAAAGATATTTGTTAACAAATGCAATAGATAAATTTTCAAATAAATGTATCATATTAGTACTTCATCTACAGCCAGCAATGATCAACGTTAATTATTGTAATATTGTAAACTTTCGATACCACAGTCCTCTTGAAATTCGACTTTACCGTAAACAACCCTGCAATTTTTCACTTAGTAATCAATCACAATCCGAATCAATCACTAAATTATTTATTCACTTCGTAATCAATCAATAATTTTCGGGTCGTTAAATTTACGACCAAGCTCTGCAGTGAGGTTCGTTGCCCTATCTATTTTGTTGAACCATTTTATTCATTCTAATATTCCATTACTTCTTCCGTCTTGGCAGCGCCAGTTAAGCTTTGATTGTAAGTCTGGGCTCATCAGCACTTACAATTCATAAATTAAAAATGAAATAGTTTAAGTTAATTTCCAAGCACGCAACTAATATTATTAAATGACGATCATTAAGGATTGACTGAATATTACAACTATCACAATTAAGTATCATATTGGTCAATGTTCGGTTTCTTGAATTACAGTCCAGCACGCACCAGGCGTACATACAAACGACAAGCAGAGATGCATGCACCGAAAATATTGGTACTAAGTTTCCACAATACAGTGCACACATTTATTCATTGCACAAACACGATTTATTCACACATTAGGATCTTAACAAAATAACACCCGGCACATTACACGTTACACACAATAACACCCTGAACATTCCGCGTTACACACCATGACACCCTGCACATTACACGTTGCACACAATAACACACTTCACAAAAATGATAAATGCAAGAGCTTCCTTATCTCTAGTACGTTGAACGTTCAAATTCCAATGAATGATGCAATAGCAATGAAATTGAAATTAATCATTGAGTTTTTAAACTTGAATCGAATACATAATTCATTTTTTGGGGAGCTATAAATATTGCTTTTTCAAAATTAAATTCTCATTTCTATATTAACTGTAACTGCTGTGGAAATAAAAAGGAAACTTAACCTTGTCCGATTTCTAGACTATGAAATTATAGAAAACTTTTCAACCACTATTACTATTACTATTCTTGTTAGCAAAAATACTTGAAGCAGACCTGCCCGTTGGAAGCCGAATGTCATGACAGGAGTGGGAGATCTGGCAGCCACCCTGGAAGCAGCCAACACTGCCAGCAGACCACAGACGTCGCAGAGCAAGTGACCGCAGTCAAACAGCACTGCCAGACTGCCAGAGAACTGGCTGCCTGCTGCCTGCAGCACCTGATGCCAAGCATTTCTTTTTAAATAACAGCAATTTCTTGTTCATATCCAGGCATTTGTTCAATTCCTTCGTCAGACGTCTTTTTTTATCTCTCTCTGTATAATTCTCTCTTGATTTAAATTCAAATTACCATGGCAAATATGCCATGCAACGCAGCCTGTAATGAAACATGTACATGGTATTTTTGAGTCACGAGTATGTGATGAAATATCCGTAGAGCATCTGCAAAATAATTTTTATTAAGATTATAATCAAACATTAACAACTATCATAATCAAACATCCGTCATAATCAAACATCTGTCATAATAAAACATCAACACCTAGCATAATCAAACATCCGTCATTGGTGACAGGGTGTGATAAAGTGACAAGGTACGGCAGAGTACGATAGGGTGACAGGGTGTGATAAAGTGACAAGGTACGGCAGAGTACGATAGGGTGACAGGGTGCGATAAAGTGACAAGGTACGACAGGGTACGATAGGGTGACAGGGTACGATAGGGTGACAGGGTACGACAGGGTGAAGTTCACCTGGAAATGGTGCAAATGAAATATGACTTTTCGGTAGGATGGGGCTAGGTAATTTACACCTGGCGATATCGGAAATATTACGAGGCACCTGAAGAGGAGCAATAGGCCTTCCTGAAAATCGTGCAAATGATAATGTGCCCCGGGGGAGGGTGGGACGGGTGAGGTACACATTATAATTACATAATAATAATGGCCAGCAGGAGGTAACGGAACTGAATTAATAACTCAAGGTCAAGATACCAAAAGCAATAACACATAACATTGATGGTGGATGATGAGGAACAAATGAATTGTCGTGTGAATCTAAGAGATTTCTGATGAGAATCTAAAAGAGTTCTGATGTGAATATAAAAGAGTTATGATGTGAATCTGAAAGAGTTCTGATGTGAATCTACGAGAGTTTTGATGTGAATCTAAGAGAGTTCTGATGTGAATCTAAAAGAGTTCTGATGTGAATTTAAGAGAGTTCTGATATGAATCTAAAAGAGTTCTGATGTGAATCTAAGAGAGTTCTTGAATCTAAAAGAGTTCTGATGTGAATCTACGAGAGTTCTGATGTGAATCTAAAAGAGTTCTGATGTGAATCTAAGAGAGTTCTGATATGAATCTAAAAGAGTTCTGATGTGAATCTAAGAGAGTTCTGATGTTAATCTAAGAGAGTTCTGATGTGAATCTAAAAGACTTCTGATGTGAATCTAAGAGAATTCTGATGTGAATTTAAGAAAGTTCTGATGTGAATCTAAGAGAGTTCTGATGTGAATCTAAAAGAGTTCTGATGTGAATCTAAAAGAGTTTCTGATGTGAATCTAACAGAGTTCTGATGTGAATCTTAGAGAGTTCTGATGCACAACCTTTCGAGCATAGAGAGCTTCAGTCTGGATGAAAAGCCTGTAAAAATAACTTAATGCTCAGCTAATTTTTTTTAACAGTTGATGTCTAACGATGCATCAATCGCTATTCCTTCATTCTATCCACTACTCTTAAAATTTTATTGAACGAAGTAATTATCAGTCGGATATTAATAGTCGCGTCAACTGTTCGCTTATTGCTTCCGAACTGCCATGGTAAGTTTGCAGCCTCATGTCAAAATTTCGATGCAAGTTTGTTCAGAGCGTTGTCGCTGAGGCAGCAGTTAGTACTCACATTTAGGTATAACGCCTGTTTGGTGTGGAAGTTGTACCAGGTTTTCGTTCGTATCCAAGTGACCTTACTACCTTAGTTCAAGCTCTGGATATTATTCAATTCCTAAGTATGTCGAACAAAAGACATGGATTATTTCTATAGTAAAATACGTGTTTGTCATAGTTTAATTGTTGTGTGATAGCTCGGCCCTCTGGGAAATCTTTTTTATAAAATAAATTAGTTTAAAACACTTAGTGAAAGACAGTGCGAACCGATAAATTATTCATTATGGCGGTTAGGAGCCAGCGATCGTGTCATCAAAATTAGGAAAATCACTTTCGTTCTAATGACTTTCACCACTCATACCTGTCAAAAAATTGATCTTTTTAACAGTAAACGCTTATCTATTAAATTTTACGGTAAGTAGATTATTATTGTTGAATGAATCTAAACCAAATTATTATAACTTTTTAACAAAATGACTTTTTCACTTTCAATTAAATTAAAGCGATTATTTATTGTTAAAAAAATTACCTTTCTTCGGTGATGAATTTTTATATTCTAATTTTTTTAGTATCTAAGTAGAAGCAGATTAATGAAAGTATTGAATTATTGAAGCTCTCACCTCACGACTCTCGTCGGACTCAGCGTCAGACTCGGACGTCGTTTCATCACGTGAACCTCGGCCTTCTTCTGATGACAGACAAAACTCGAAGAAACTTTAAAAATATTACAGCATTATTGAATAAACTTTGTGCTATCAAAACTTGAAAGTGATACGTACGATTGACATACGTGATGAAGATTTATTAAACTCGAGAGGAGAAATGTAACTTTCAGTGTAACGTTTTCATAAAATATGAATATCAGACAAGGAGTGAAAGTTATTGGTTTAGTAAAATTGGCGCTTGATGGTAAGGTGAAGGCAGGAATAATTACATTAATGGCGTATGGAAATCTCTCTGATTTTGCTTTGCAACAATACTACTGCAGCAATAATACAGCAACAATACTACTGTAACAATACTACTGCAACATTACAACTGCAATAATACTACTGCAACTATACTATTGCAACAATACTATTGCAACAATACTACTGCAACAATTCTACTGCAAAAATTATGCTGCATGCGACTGGGCATATTAAATTTAAATGACTATGTATATTGAATTGTTTCTCTAATGAATGCAAAATTAATGGTAATATCCACGTTCGTGCGTGTGGTGTTGTGTAAAAGAGAAACCGCCGTAAAAATCAAGTAGTTGATGATATAGTAAATGATTTGTCGTTAGGAAACTAACAACATTCACTGAAGATTATATATACTTCTGCGATGTATAATAATTCTGTATAATGTAATAATATGTAATTATGTAATGCATAATGTAATAATATGTAATAATGTAATTTCTGTATAAAATACATACCTGATAGTACTGGATCATCTCGGGGACAGCGCTTAGGAGCTGTTGACGTCATGATACGTGTTACTGGAGCCCTAAGTTGCACACGATTTGATGTCCGGTAAAATACTAGAAAACGTTGAAAAATTACGTATACGAGGTTCTTTTTACATCCGAGCGTGGTTTAATTAGAACAATCAGAAACGAGAATATTACTATCTCCTTGTTTTACAAGAAGATAGTAATATATATTTGAACTACATATAGTCCCAAAATGGCCCCTTTATTTTAGTTGTATCATTAATGTAAATTACTCTATGGTAAATTATTGAGTTTTAAGACTATATTTTACAAAAGTTAAAGAGATGCGAGCATTCTACACGAATGACTTAGATTATGCTTGGTGTCTTTTAATCCTTAAAGAAAAAAAAAGCTCGGTTTAAACTCTAAATTAAATTATGCTCGGTTTAGATCTCTAAATCAAAAAATTAGCGCCGTTTAAACTCTAAATTGAAAATTTAACTCGGTTTTGAACTCGAAAAAGTTCGGTTTTGAAGTCTAGATTAAAAAAATCGGTTCCTCTGAGAAATCTTAGAGGAAAGCTTCTCCAGTGTATTATAATTTGAAAATTCCATATCACGAATGAAATTCAATTTCATAAAAAGTATTTTCAAAAATTTTTTGAGTACTTATGAGAGAAACACTCTTTGAGAGTAACTATTAACACTCTTTATTAAAATAAATTTGAAGCCTTCATGACCTTCAGTTCCAACTAGTGAATAGTGTTACTTTAAGGTAAAACTCTTCATTTAAAGTAACTCTCTTTGAAAAAGTATTTTTCATATTGCCTCATTAAATGAAGTGTACAGGTGAACCTGATTGGTTGCTTTGTTTATGCATGATTTTGGAAAAAATCTCCATAAAATCGCTTATATTTTACTATTTTATTTCTCTCACTTTCCTTATCCCCAAGTTTTTAAAATATTTTTTTTTGTCAAAACCTCAAACAGCGAGTAAAATGGCCAGCGACGGCTACTGAATGAAAGTCAACTCCAATTTCTTTGAGTTCTTAAGAATTTTCAACATAGAAATTTCGTTTCCCTTTTTCTCATTTCCGAGCTGCCTACTTTGATCAAATGAGACTAACAGAGAACGGATAATGTTGCCTTCTTAAAGCGGTCTCGGCTGAGCTGAATATATAACGCGATTCAATAATCTTGAAATAAATTATTTAGCAATTGGTCCACAATTAGTATCATTCTGCAAAGTCTTTCGTGCTCACAGTCCCGTGATCCACTATCACTAGAGTTAGCCCGCGCTGCTCACAGTCCCGAGATCTACTACTACTAGAGTTGGCCCCTGCGCTGCTCACAGTCCCGAGATCTACTACCACTAGAGTTGACCCCCGCGCTGCTCACAGATCCGAGATCAACTACCACTAGAGTTGACCCCCGCGCTGCTCACAGTCCCGAGATCAACTACCACTAGAGTTGACCCCCGCGCTGCTCACAGTCCCGAGATCTACTACCACTAGAGTTGACCCCCGCACTGCTCACAGTCCCGAGATCTACTACCACTAGAGTTGACCCTCGCGCTGCTCACAGTCCCGAGATCTACTCTCACTAGAGTTGACCCCACGCTGCTCACAGTCCCGTGATCTACTATCACTAGAGTTGACCCCACGCTGCTCACAGTCCCGAGATCTACTCTCACTAGCGTTGACCCCACGCTGCTCACAGTCCCGAGATCTACTCTCACTAGCGTCGGCCCCGCGCTGCTCACAGTCCCGAGTTCTACTTGTCACTAGAGTTTAGTGTCCCAACTCAGAGTTAAATCGTGTCACTGGCTGCGCTGCTTGGATCAGCCTTATGAGATCATGAGAAAAGGAGAAGAAAATGTTGCAATGTCGATGAGCGAGAGTTACTGTAGAAGACTTTAATTATAACATAAAATGTATTTGGTGAGTTTTCTACTTGATGAATACGTCGCCGGAATTAAATTCATAGAGATATTATTATATAATGATGATTACAGTCGAATATCTGTAAATTCGTGGCGTGCGATGCATTCAAATTTCAATTTTATCTTATCCCACTGCTCATACCAACCTTTAAGTAGCATAACCGCCCTAATTTTTCCACTGATATCAATATTATTTAATTATTATTATTATATTAATTATTTATTTAATTATTAAAATTATTTAATTCGAGAGCTTGAAAATAAATTCGTTTTTTACCGCTGTACTGTGGTGTTAACAGTCGGCAAAGAAAATTAACATTTGCCCTTTTTTCAGACAAAAGCCTTTGATGGAAGTACTTTTAGAGATTATGGATGAACTTTACAGTTTAAGTCCCTGAAAGTGTGAAAAGTTAGATAGAAGCTCGTGAAATATTAGCGACAGTTGTCCCATTATAGAATGAAATATGCATAGCAAAGATGTAAATTCGGAGTGTTGGCGTATCACAAGTGCTAGAAAAAAATGTACACGATGTAAATGGGAAGCGTTTTCTGTTCAAAATAGATTTTGGCAATATTCTCCTTTTCTATCATCAAGTTCATTCAACTGTAAATTTGCAATCCTGAAAAAAAATCAATAACAAATGATAATATGATTTATGCTACTCATACTACTTGGAAAAAATCAAGTCACACAAAAATTAATTAAGTTGACGCGTTCATTTCTTCAATAATTTGTACCTATATGTGGCGACTTTCGATCTTTAGTTTCAAAAAAGAACTGCAATAGTTCTCTTCATATATCTTACTAAATTCTCATAAGCCTTGCTAAATTCGTATAACTCGTCCTAATTTCCTTGAGGTCTTAAGAAATTCGAATAAATCTGGATTAATTCTTAAAACTCTAAATAAATTCGTACACTGAATTCGCTCTCACTGAATTCTTATAACCATCATTGAATTCTCATAAATATTGCTGAATTCTTATTATTCATTCTAAATTCTTATAGTACGGCTACTTGCGTACTATTGAGTAAAGACTGACAATCAATAACATTAACCAAAAATATTGCTTAAAAATGTAATATAAAAAATTGTATTGACTCCATAAATTTAATTATTGGACTTTCAAGACTTGGGCAGGTCAATGATAAACGGGAAGTTTGCATGACATTTTATTTTTCCATAAATTTGATTTGAAGCGAGAATGCAAATCTAATCCACCATCATTGCTTCAGTTCTTGGAGATTCTCAGTACAAATTCCTATATTAAAATCAATTAGATTTGTTACCAACGAAAGAGTACAAAATGTGAGATCGAAAGTCCTGAATAATAAAATTATAGGGAAAATCAAGCCCCTCGTGAATAAAACTAGGTGAAATCCAGTTAACAAATAGAATACTGAACGATACATGAGCGAAAAATAGTTTCTTTAGAAGCAGGAAATATTATAGAAGCACAAGACTGCCAATTCTGTTTACGCTTTCATGAGTTACTGTCTTTAAGAACGCGGCTTCTTGCTTCCGACGAATATTCGAGTTTAATATAATAAATATTATTATCAAGCCTACTTATGACAGTGAATAGAGGGCCTTTGAAAATAAATATTAATAATACAGATATATTATAATAGGTCATCTCGAAAAGTTAATAATTTATTTTCTGGTGGTTAGAACTTGCATGACAAATGACGCGTAATTTAGGAATGATCTTACAAATGTCACTGAGGATTTAATATGTATTGATCGTGTGAAGAACCTATAAATCTGGTGCTTATTCATTTTATTCACTCCCATACTTTCTTGCGTCGATTTATTTTTCGCTTGCTATTAATCTGATGTGTTAGTGCCCTCGAAGTTCTTTTAAACCAGACGCCACGATAAATGCTCTGAATAATAATAATAATAATTGATGGAGTAATACCGTAAATTATTGAAGTTGGCTCATAAATAAATTAATTTTGGACTGATTATCAAAACATCATGATTATCAAAACAAGCTGCATGAATACGTTGAACTTAATTAAAGTTACCAAACCAATAACATCAGAAGTCACTAAAATGACATACTCCACACACATTCTCTTCAGACTTCTGAGTAAGAATTTGATCAAATTCTATAATTATTAGTTATTTTTGAATACATATTTAATTAATGTTCCCATTTTACAGGCATTATTCGTTTCTTTAAAGACTGATTTTTTTCTGAGCTTCAATTTTTCCGCAACATTAATGCTTTTGCTGCAAATAAATTAAACATGCGTCAATCGGAGCAGGCATTTCATTTCAACATAACCGCTCCATTAAGAGATTGTTTAAATAATGCCCACATGATAATTACAGGATTTCATCTGAATTCAACACCTACTTATATCTAATTCTCATTCTACGTCCCATGCCCGTCTTAAATAGCCAGTAAATGAGTACGGTTCCAGATGCTGCTCATAATACTAGATTTTTACCAATAGTATTAGTGTATATATAAGTAGAATATATGAGAGTTCATCCTCGTAATTGGCCAGTGGAGATTATAAAAGCATCTATTTATCACGAAAATGATTGTTCGAATGTATATTAGAAATATAAACTTTTCCTACATCTATAATAAGTTATGTACTATATTTTGGAAAGTCAAAAATTAGCATAACTTTTCAATCAAATTAAATACTTAATTAAATCTCAGCAAAGAAAATGAAGAGGCTGACTGTTTCCTTGGGCATACTGAAAAATCTGAATTTACTCAATAATAATTCATCGAACTTTTTACTTCTACTTATTTCTGATCGGGAACATCAGCATAGATAAATTAAGATTGTTATTCTAAAGTTGTTTGCAAATCACTTGGATTTTTCTTGTATCTCTTGTAAAACTTTGACGTTACTATAATCAGATTCTACTCCTCGTATACAATTATTATACTTGCATAAACTTCCTTCAGCGTCAGCAAACCGTTTTGATTTTGATCTTCTATCTTGTTTGGACAGTTGGCCTGCCTAAAATATTACTGTATTTAACCGTAACCTTAAAGGTTGTGATGAGTTCTACCGAACCTCAAGAAGACGTGGTCCAAATCTTGTCGCTTCACCTCAGGGTCGCTCAGCGGCATCACGCTTCGTTCAACTGCACAAAATAAAAAGGAATATCATATTATACGTTCCTAAAGTTTTTGTTCTGGGTAAAATTTAAGAGCCCTTGTTTTCTTGTTGACCACTCGATGCCATAAGTCTCAAGTCTGAAAGCAGCTTCCACCCATTTATAAAAATCGACGCCTACTGACGGAAGGGTTATACATATATCAAGTATAAAAATTTATTCAGAAAATATGCGAAATTAAAAATTAGGTCCATTTCTAAAATCTAATTTTCTTTACTTTAATGATCGGCGAGTAAAATGATACATTCCTATTTTCATTGAACCCAACAAATAAGGAAGTTTAACCACGGGAGATTTGGAAATGTCTTGCTTCTTGCAAAGAATCCTATTTCTGCTTATGGTTTCCTGAAGCTGAGATGTTAAAACAATGTTGAAACAGACGTTCAAGTCGCGACTATCAACGACCCAAAGCTAACGCTCAAAAAACCTTCCCCTTTCTCTAATCATGAGTCCCACAGCGTGAGCGTGGCACGTCGCCCCGCCTTCATTGAGCCAACTTCACAAAAGACGTCCGAGATTGGGACGGCCCCACAGCTGGGACTCAAGACATCTGCTTCAATGACCTCTTTCTTAGTCAATACCTAAACCATTCATAACTCATTAACGAATTATAGTCGCGGGCCTGACTTTGGCTTTTAAGTGAACTAATAAAACGTACAGTCTCGATATCATAAGTTTGAAGATGGGTAATATGGGGAAAAGTGGATTACATTACTCGTAATATTGAAATTGGATAGCATTTTAATTTCGTATGAACATGGAAAACGTGAAGAAATGGCCAAACGTCGTACATATTCTTTACAATGTTCCCACTAAAATGTGATTAAATAAAATGATTTTCACCTATCCTATAGAGTTAGAATATTTTAAAACGATTAATGAAATGGATTCACATAAGAACATACGTAAAACGTCGGAATCACGAGTACTTGATTAATCGAACCAATTTCGAAACCTCGTAATTTCAAAAATGTTAAGCTCCACTTCAATTGCTCAAACAATAACTGACTTCCCAAACACACGTGAAGGCGTTAAACAGAAAAAACTAACTGTTTTTTGGAAAGTGCTTATATTTGATTAATGACCATAAAGACATCGGTAATGCATGAAATTCAGTCTGTCTGAAGCGCACTCAAAGATATTCAGTCTGTATGAACACACAAAAAAATTCAGTCTGTCTGAAACGCACACCAACAATTCATACTAATCCAGTAGTGCAATGAGCAATAGTCTTTATACTAATATAAGAACGAGCGTTCGGAAACTCGTGCAACGAAATTTATTTTTAATTATTTATTTTTCCTTATATTTTGTAAACGAATTTATGACGTGATAACAAGGCAATGAAATTATCTCTCAGCCTAGCTACATGAACATGGCGGCACTGAAAATGTCTAACCGTAAGAATGTCTAGAAAGAGAAGAAATGTCTAACCGTGAAATGACGTAAGAAAACAACGCTGTGAAGAATTGGAATATCTTGAAGCAACGCTGGGAAACATACGCCCTGATAACGGACTTCATCGCAATCTCTACAGTACAGCAGAAAGCACTCGTCATACATTGCCTTGACGACGACGCACTGCATGGATGCGTACAACACATTCCAACTGACAGAAGACGCCACAGTCGAGCAGATTATTTGAGCGTTCGACCTCTTCATCATCGGAGAAGCAAACTAAACCTTCGAACGATACAGGTTCAACCGAAGAAATCAAGAAGAAGGAGAATGTTTCGAACTATTCTACGCCGAACTTTAGAGATTTATCAAGACGTGCAACTACTGCAGCAACTGGATGACGTTATTACTGAACGATAGAATTGTATTTGGAATACACGATGCAAACGTTCTAAAAAAAACTACTAAAGACACGCAATTTAATGCTAGAAAAACGGTGGATTTCAGTAAAACAAATGAAATAGCGGTTATACATGATAAACTTTACGCCCATAAGTTAACAAAGTGATCGAATCCAAGAAAAAAGCTTCGGAGAATTAGAAGATTAAGCGACAGACGGTACATATGTTTTGTGGAAAGCCCCACCAATTCGACAAGAACAAAGCTCCAGAATGCTGAAAAACTTGCAAGTAGAAGATCACCGGACAGTTTGAAGAAGGACCACTTCGCTTGTCAAAACCTGTACTGAGGAATGCTCCAAAGAAAAGCAAAGTCTACTACGTAGACGAAATCACGTACTCTGAATAGGAAGAATGCATCAACAATATCGGCGAACAGGACAGCAACAGTAAGATGGTTAAATGCGCCATGGAGATCGAAAACAAGACGGTGAAGTTTCATATAAATACTGGCTTCAGCGCGAATGTTCTTCCCATAAATTACGTGAAACACAATACAATAAAGGGGACAAATATTGTGCTCAAAACTTGGAACAACAAGAATTACATCCCATTAGGAGAGTATCGTGCAACGGCGCTTAACTCGAAACACAAGATGAAATTGAACGTAAATTTTTTAATCAGCGAAGAAAACAATACCCCAATTTTAGAACTCAAACACTGTTCGACTAGCATACGTAACATGGTATATGATCATAGAATACAATTTATAAATAAATTCTATAGAATGAAACGATGGCACTCTTCTAACACGAGATATGACGTCAATAAATGATTGAATAATAAAGGACGAATGAATCAATTACTTTATTTGTCAATGAGTGACGGATGGATTGATGAAAAATCTTGAAATCAAATTTTTTGACGAGAAAAGCTGTTCAAGGTCTCATTAGACGCTTGAAAAGAGTCTCGAATCTTCCCTCAGCCCAACAAATTGATCCAAGCAATCCATTAGGTTTGTAATAAAAGGCCTGAGCGGCCGTAGTTTCCCCATTGATGTTCATCTCAACGAGAAGGAGTAACGTAAAATGGAGTGACGTAAAACGAGGAGTAAAAAACGAGAAGGAGTAACGTTTGAAGTGAACAATTTCTTTTCAATTATATAGAAGTCAGCTTGTCCTACATATGTTATGATTTTCAACACACTTGTCAAAGTGTGTTTGTTTATTTGTGTATTTGCCTGGATATCCCTTGTGTCTGAAAATGTATTCTTAGTGAGAGAATAATAGGACGTTTGAAAGCAACATTGGAGAAATATGAACGATTTTTTTACTGTATATATATTTTAATTTAGAATATGTAGAATAGTTTCATCGAATTTTTGAAAATTGAACAAAATCGGTATTAATTAAATATAGAATAGAATAGAATAGAAGTGTCGGCGTTGGAGACATAGGCCCATGGCCTGTTGCCGATTCTTGAACTTTTCGTGACTTGATTCACAAGGGATCCGGCCTTTGGAACCCGATCTTTCCATAACTGACGATTGATTGAGATAGCTGCTGGACTTATTGCCTGCTCTGGTAGCTTGGCCACAGAAACAAGGGCTCTATTGTTCTACGCTGGCGGGGCAGTGCTGCACGTTGCCCTCGCCTGGTCTGTTTGCGTCCCTCGCTGACTCTTGATCGCGTTATTTCAGATGGAAACACTTTTACTATAGGCTTTTTTTCTATTTGCACTCTATTTTACTGACTTCACTGAAAATTCAGTCATTCACTGACACGGATCATAAAAAAATGCAAAAAGAGTTCCGAAAACGGCACAGTTAAAGTTAAAAGTTGAAAATCTGGGACCGCAAAACACGAGCGTCCGCTCTCGACCACGGCTGAAACTTGACCCCCAAGCCACATAAACAATTTACGAGTTATTTCCTGGTTTCTACAAATTTTCCGATCATGTACAACAGCAAAAATATTTTTATATGGGTTATCCAGCAGAGCTCTGCAATTTAATCCAACCAGCATAATCTGTGAGATGGAAACCAAAACAAGCCATGCAAACTAATCCGACACAAGCGCAACAATTTAATCCATCCAATCCACTTATTTTCTTATATAACTGATACAGAGATATAATTTTCATTGTATTCAATTTTTCATTATAATCGCGGTTATAAATTAACAGCAACTCTTCAGTGGCAATAGGACACAATAACTTAAATCCGCATTTTATCCAAGCTCGAGATTGAATTTCCCTGGGTGCTCTTTCTTTAATTTAGAGTCTTGGATAATAAGCTAAACATCATTATTTTGTGATATCTGCTTCAAAATTGCCTGTCTGATGAACTACTATCTATGCCATTGCATTGAATAAGTTATAGTAAAAATTTATAGTGCGTTTCATCAATTTGCTTCTACTATTTTTCAAGTGCCAGGGATCTTCTTTTATTCCGCTCTGAGCCAAACTTATTGCTCACATCACAGTCGCGAATAAGTCAACGTCAGGACTTACATTCATAGCGCATCTCCAGCGAGCGGAAATACTCAGGCACTCTGTGAGCTTTCCGGTATTTGTGTCATATTCGATGATTTAAAATTATTTTTTCAAAATTATTGCTTTTTATAAACATGTGATTTTTTGAATTCATACTTAATTAAAGTTAATCTTGAAGTTCCAGAAAAAATTCGTCATAATCTTGAAATTCGTCATAATAGCTTCGGTAACAAAAAATTATAATATTTTCGTCACATTCGGTTACCAAATATCGTCGACATCCACGTTAATATTAATGTTATAAACTTGACTGATTTTTACTTTACTGCCGTGCCCCGTGTGCTTAATCTCACCTTTAGCGTCTAAAAATTCCTCGAGCGCTTCAGTGAGCTCGCCGAGATTTTTGTATTCCTCGATGAACTTGCAGATGCGCTGGGCTGCAGGCCCCATCATTTGAGGAGGGTAGCTGCACACTCCTCGTGGGGAGAAGGGCTGGGGAGCTGCTGATGTCATAGTGATCATGATGGTACATAGCAACACCGATAACACTCCAAAGCTCCTAACCTGCTGCCACCCCGACGACGAACTTCCTCGACCAACCATCTGCGCGAGAAAGGTTACGTGGTTCTTAGTTGCAAAGTGAAATAACGCCAGATATGCTGGAGGTAATAATATGATTGATTTGATAAATAAATAGAATTAATAACCAAATGTTAGGTAGAGCTGCAGTTTTTCTACCCTACTACATACTTAACTATATGATAAATTACTACATAGAATAATTCCATAACCTCATGAGACCAAAAACCATAAAATCTCTGCTACGGAATTGCATAAAAATGAAACTGCAACCCGAGTAAACTGAAACGAAGTCAAAATGATTGCAGTCGTAGCATAGCCGTGGATGAGTATACTAGATACGAAGCAGCACCACGCAACACTAGCACTGGTAAGCATGCTGGGCCAGAGGGCAGCACCACGCAGCACCAGCACTGGTAAGCATGCTGGACCACAGGGCAGCACCATGCAGCACTAGCACTGGAGCATGCTTGGCCAGAGGGCATCACCATGCAACACCAGCACTGGTAAGCATGCTGGATCAGAGGGCAGCACTACGCAGCACTAGCACTGGTAAGCATGCTGGATCAGAGGGCAGCACTACGCAGCACTTGCACTGGATAAGCGTGCTGGACCAGAGGGCAGCGATGTTCAAGACAGCTGCGTGGGACGAATCAAATTCAACATCTATCAAGTGAGTCTAAGTCGTCAAAAAAATTCAAAGAGTATATGACAGACATTTGTAATTTAACGGTTGTTAATAAACTGCGGTTTAGCCACAAACTAATCGGGTATTACTTTTCAGTTTTGCCCTCAATCGTCCGGAACCCAGGAATAACTTTACGAAATATTGTCCGTCGCGACTATAAATACCAAAACCATGTATCATATTAATTCCAACTCCGGAGGGGATTTTCAAATAGATTAGACATAAGACACAAAGGCTTGTCTGCACGTCGGAGAAATTAGTGAAGACGATTTCGAACTTATTGAGGAAGTCAGGCACGTTGGCAAAATCACTAACGTAGAAAATTAGAACAAATTGCATCATGTCGGCCTCCACTTACACGATGAGAAGGCAATTAAGCAATGTCTCCGGAGAGTTTCACCTCTAACTTCGGGCGCAGAAATATACGAGTGCAGACTGAGGAAGCAAAACACATTAGCTGATATAAGTAAGAAATAAAATAAAAAGCATGTGATAAAAATGAGCGTTCAACAATTGCTGCATATGCTACAGGTTGAAGACTTTAATATCATACAACAATGCAGTCGTCATCAGGATGAACACATCTCAACAAGCGTCCGATGAATATAGTACGGGGCGATAACTAAAGGATTAATATATCGGTTACATTGGACCAAGGAAAAAACATTAGACAATTTATTGATTCTTTCTGATAGTGCGTACACTTTTCGGGAGGCTGAAATGAAATTTGCTGGCTGAAATGGATCGAATTCTCTTTTTAGTTACTATTCCATGAATGAAAAAACCTGAAAGTAAAATGAACAAACAGTAATGTTTCGCAACAAAAACCAAGAGATAAAAAATCCCAAGTTATATGTAGACAACCGTAAACCCTAACCGCAAGTTTTGACATATTTATTAGATAATGACATTAAAAAATATATTTTAATTGCTCAAGCGGATAAAATCCCTTACCAATTAAGTGGGTTGAACAAAAATAGGAATTAACGATTTTACAAAGTCAAATACTAGTATTGCTAAAATTCAATTTCAGAAATATACTCAATTTCTTCGTTCACTTACTTTTTATACGGTTTTTCCTACAGGATGGACTGCATCACTTTTTTCAGCTGGTTTCTATGTAATACATCGGTGTGGAATATGTGTAAGATAAGAATTTTGGAATATTATGATCAACATGAACAATAAACGCTAGGATTATGTAGAACTTTAACTTCGCATTTGAATTACAAGTCTTCATACTGGGGTTTGGCTGCTATGTGAATGATATTAATGTTGGTTTTTGTTAGAAAGCGCACAAGCGACAACATTATTATCGGAATAGATGGATTGTGCTAAAACTCGGCTTTAAGCGTAAGATTTAATTGGTACTTCAACTGCTCTCAATAACATTTTTAAATCATGCAACATATTACTGTAGCTTATTCAATTAATTTCTTTCAGCAAAACCTATAATGATCAAAAACTTTTTTAATCATGTAGTGTCTGCATTTGTCTGTGAACACCGAGGAGAGTATACGCATTCACCGAAGATCATTTTTAATGAAAGCCTTATTTCCTGCCTTATTTTACAACGTCTAAAAAAGGTTTCAGGTGTTCTACATGTCTGATGAACATAAATTTTACACGTCTGAATGCTCTGCTTGACGGATATGTAATAGCTTGTGCATCTGCGAGTTACTCAAGCGTTCGGATCAAATACCGCAGACTTTTATGAAATTACGACAGCCTATATAAAGGCGATAGCATATACTGTATGTACTACATATTCACCAAAACACAGCACAAATTAGGAAGCTCTGCAGCATAGCAATGTTGACAAAATATTTTTATTAATACTGATTAATAATAATAATAGCCTGATGTTAGGAAAAGTCAGAATTTTAACGTATCTGGACAACTGTACATATTATAAAAATGCACCTTTTCAAAGAAAAGCGAATATAATAAAAACAGAGTTGTTATTAAGAGACTTATTATGAATAAGTCTCTTAATAATAAGTCTTATTAAAAGTCTTAATAAGTCTTATTATTATTATTATAATAATAAGAGACCTATTATTATTTATTATGACAAAATAACGAGCAAGAGACATGAGGAGTGTAATTGTTTAATTTTTCAATTGCTGAGATTGACACCCGAACCCCATCGCGAGACCTGCGCATACGCAAACGTCGTAAGATTCTAAAATAAGTAAAAGTTTAGGTTTTAGTGAACATTGCAAAACAAAAACAGTGAGACACTTTAGTGTTAGACTTCTAACGTTTGAAATCTTGTACAATTAATAAGCTTTGCAACCACCTTTGAGAGATCGGCAATCATTGTTTTCCCGTAAATTGAATGCTACGCCATGCGACATTGATAGACTTTCATGACACATTTTTTAGAGGCTACTTAACGCAAATTAGCATGCTCACTGTAACTTTAAATCTCGGATAAATCAAATTCTAATTATTTCCTAGATTCTTCTGTTTAACTGAAGTTCTAATAAACTTGAATGATTTGGCTTAAAGGTTCAATGATGGGAAATAAAAAAATTACATAGAAAATTTTCTAGAAAGACGAATTAGAAGCTTGAAGCATATGTTTTCTAGTAAGACGTGTCCCTATTAAGAAGACGTATCGATCTCCAATTTGTGGCACATGTTTTAGAGACCTTTATTTTCAGGAGAGGAAGACGAACTACTATAAGTGCAGAGTGGCACGCTGGTCATTCAGGCCGTATATACTGGGTGCAGAGTTGAGTGACGGTAACTTTGAATGACCGCTGACAGGCTGAGAGCCAATCGCTTATTAGAGAAGCGATAACGCTGTCTGCCCACGCTTATCAGTTGGCTAAATATGCTATAGGCAAATATGAATAGTTTGTGATACCTCATCAAAGCTGGAGGTCATGTCACCGCGCGGCAAGAAATCATGCTCCTCTGAGACTGAGGGCAACACCTCTACTTGGTCGGATGTAATGCATCACCAAGGCTGGGGGAATGATTACGAGTTCGGAGGTCACACTGTAATATTGTCCAGGATTCTGGGAACCAAGAATAACTTTTTTTCGTGGTTGAAATGTTTTTCTTTCGTGTATTGCCTACAAGGCATCACTTGAACCTTTTCCCTTTGAGGTCATGCATGAAGGTGAAGGCCAAGACTGTCGATCAGCCTTTGCTTGCATGGCTGAAAATTTCACAAGCCTTTCAATGAATCATAAAAGTCTAAGCACCGGAATTTGTTGATGCAATAACAGCATTGAGTTTAAGGTTGCCGTCTTCGAAGGTTACTTGGCTACACGCCTTTAACTGTAGTAATAGATAAACATACCGTATTCATTAGTAGTGGGTTATCGATAGGGAACTTACGCACGGATACGACATCTCGAGTCGTATTACAGAAGTTCAAAGATAAAGTTTGTATTTGTTGTTTTATATTAATTACATACAACGAGGCGGCTAACTTCAAATTTTATGCTTGACTCAACGAAAATTTTTTCCCCGCTAAAAGATTACCATTAATATTGTAGAATACTGCATCGAGTTGCAATATTTCGATTTCACTTCGCGTAGTAATTTCGTTAATATAATGCGCCTTGTCTTATAACAATCTGTCAGGTCTAATATATGTAAACATTTCTATAGCTAAATGTCACTGAATATTTTTTACTTTTCTAAGCCATCGTACGACAATAATTTGATATGGGCCACTTTCTTGCCTCATCATATTCGCGTTGTGGTATCCCTACCACTTAGCGTTTAGGTTTGCTCTATGACAATCCTATTTAGGACAAGTCAACGTAGTGAATATGTGCACAACACGGAGCCGATCGTAATGAACCTCCATCGACTAAAATTGTATCTCCCATTGCTTCACTGCCCGTTACGCATTTAACTCTGAAAGATCCTTCAGCATCAAATTACATTATAATGTACTCATTAGCTGGCCATGAGTTCAGGCTCATGGCGGTGTACCTCAACTCTCATTCGATGCATGGGGTCCCACTGGTCACCTCTTGAGCATTCGTTTTGACCGCATTTATTTTCATTCACAGGAACGATTATGGTGATCTGCTCGTATCGATTTTGCATAATTCATATGCTTTTTCATAGCTCGCGATTTCCTTTTTATTATAGTTTACAGACTATAGTTTTAAGACGAGTGTTTCCTGCCTTGGTAATTTGTCTCTTACGCCATTTGATTTTTTTTTCATTAATTAATGACCCTTCATTCAGCATTTGGCATTAGAAATGCAATTACGATTTTTTGCATTTTTAATTGCAATTACGATTTCTATTTACTACAATCCTAAATATTTTTGATTCAGTGAATAATTTAGTTTGTTTCAAG